CAAGTGCTTCAAAATGGATTTCTTGAGGACCTGCTCCATGATTTTGCCAGGGACTGAAGTGAGGCTGACTGGTCTGTAGTTCCCCAGATCACCGGATTCTCTTTCTTCCCTTTTTTAAAGATTGGCACTATATTTGCCTTTTTCCAAGCATCCAGGACCTCTCCCAATTGCCACGAATTTTCAGAGATAATGGCCAATGGCTCTGCAATCGCATCAGCCAACTCCCTCAGCACCCTTGGATGCATGTCCAGCTTTTCTAAATAGTCTTTAACCTGTTCTTTCGCCACTGAGGGCTGCTCACCTACTCCCCATGCTGTGTTGCCCACTGCAGCAGTCTGGGAGCTGCCTATTCAGACAGACCCAGCAGGCTGTGCTATGGGGAATGATGTAGGAGACCTAGTATTAGAGAGCGCTCAGCTGCTCCAGCCTCTCCTAGCAGGAGATGCACTTATATGGGGAATACAGCAAATGGAAAAGTGGAAGTTTGTTTTGTTGTGGTACTGCCTGAAGGACCCTAATCAGGACCATGCCACGAGGTGCCATACCCACAGATAGGCACGATCCCTGCCCCGAAGAACTTATTGTCTAACTTGGAATGTGCTTGTGAGACTCTTCTGATGGTGGGCAGAGGAGCCTGTCAGCGAGTGAACTTGCCTGGCATTGCTCTGCTTTGAGTGGGCACCTGGAGTAAATCTAGGGTTCCTCTGGGAACTCTGACTGCCCGGCCCCAAGGGTTAAAGTTCTGAAGGTTCCCAGTGTTGTCTGGTAGAGTGAGAACTGGAGGCATCTCCCAGGCTCACAAGTGTCTTTGTGGCTCCTGAGTCTCCAAAAGGAACATTTTGGAATATCAAGCTCTTTCAATGGGGCCCTGATAGAGCCTGTCCTTGCTGGCTCTGCACTCAGGGGAAACCGCTTCCAAGGGGAGTTCTCTCGGGTGCTCAGTCACTAATGTAGTTCTTTGATCTTGTTTCTCTTTCAATCGCCCAGGTGGCCCTGGGATCCAAAATTGCATCACTGATGTGCTGCCAATTTTGGCCAAGATGCTGGATGGCATGAAAGCTGAACCCCTGCACCTCTGTCACCGGCTGGACAAGGAGACGACGGGCGTGATGGTGCTCGCACGGGACAAGGACACAGCACATTGGATCCAGGGCCTCTTCAAGACGCGACAGGTGGAGAAGAAATACTGGTACGAGAGGTTTGCTGGGAGCAGAAGCACAGGCTCCCAAGTGGTTTGGAGCAAGGTGTAGAGGGGCATCTGCCCTCTTAAAGCTGAACTGAGCTCGGTACTGACGGAGCTGATTGAGGCCTTAGAATGGGCAGCAGTAATGCAGATTTCCTACAGTGCCTGAAAGGGCCCCTTTTAAGGAGAGGGGGGAGCTCAGTCCCCACAGCCCAGTCAGCCCTTGGTCTTTCCCTAGAGACAACATGGGGGCGGAACTCCTGCCAGCGGTGGTTCTGCGCTGCAGTGCATCTGTCCACTGACAACAAGCTGGATACTTGCCAGCTCATTCACTTATGCCACAAACAGCCCTCACAGTGCTGCTCACTACCCACTCAGGCTGTGTTTGAACTTGTGACCTAGAGGGGGAAGGCCCCCTGTTAAACATGCTGATATGCTCTCACCTGGGAGTGATAGAAGCGCCATCTGCTCTGGATTGGTTGTGCCATGCTTGGGAATCGGATGATGAGCAGTTAGTTGCTAGGCCTGGTAGCTTGCTGTGTTCCAGCCTGGAGAGCCACCTTCCGTCTCTTGCTCCCCAGGACTAGGTCTCCTCTCCCCTCCTGAGCACATTTAGGAGAAGAGTTGAGTGGGAAGGGCATCTTACTCCATACAGCCGGCGGTGAGTCTGGGGCTCAGAGCCTGAGAAAGGGCAACGGGGGGGCACTCCTCGGGGCTCCGAATCTGGTGCTCAGACCTCCATGTGTAATTGCTGTCACCCCAGAGCCTTGTTAGCTCTTTCGGGGGACTTGGAGCTAGCTGTACTTTATAGCTTTTTGGAAGGGCTGATCATGTTTTTCCCTCGGAAGAGCCTCCCGCTGCAGGGTCAAAACCTCTGCAGTATTGCTAATGGAATAAAGGAGAATGACCTCTGACTGCTGTGTGCAGAGAGCTGGGGTGGGGCCCTGTTGATCCGTGTGTTCTCTTCCCAGGACGATCAGTGTGGGGCTCCCAGTCCCCTCAGAGGGGCTGGTGGATATTCCCATTGTGGAAAAGGAAGTGCAGAGCCACCAGTCGCACTATAAGGTGAGTGAGCTGCCTCCCAGCCGGGCCCTGGTACTGCCGGCCAGGCCATCAGCACCGTTACCCTGGCCTCACAGTGCTCAAGCTGTGTTTTTTGTGTCCCTCTCTTCCTTGTGCGGGCTTCCCGGTGCTTCAGATGACGCTGGCACCAAACTACCGCATGTCTCTCGAGAGCGGGAAGATGGTGAAAGTGCGACCGAACCGAGATGCCCACAGCGCGGTGACCCGGTACCGCGTTCTGGCTAGCTCGCCCTCTTGTTCCCTCCTGGAGCTCCAGCCAATCACCGGTAAGGCTCGCTCGGACCCCGGTTTGTTCGGATATGCTAGCGAGCAGAGCCCCTGACGTGCTTTCTGTGCTGCCTCTGTAGGGGTCCCTATAGTGACAGCAGGTGCCTGATGGGAACCGGTTCAGGCGGAGCCCGTGGGTCTCTGGGAGTTCAGGGCTTTGCATTCGAGTCTGGCTATTGGATAAGATTGCAGTTCAGCCAATCAGGAGCACTCCTAGTGCGGTGGGGACCGAACAGTTTGCTCCAGCAGTCAGTCGGAGTGCTTGTTTGCATCCAGGCCGCTCTGGCTGCCATCTCCAGTCCATGCCCACTCTTCCTTTGGCAGTCAGTTTGGGGGAGCAGCAGGCACGTGCTCAGGCAGGTGGCACCAGGCTGTGTTCTAACGCCTGGTTCTTCTCTCTCCTCTTGTGTGCTCAGGAGTGAAGCACCAGCTCCGGGTCCACCTGGCCTATGGATTGGGGTGTCCAGTCCTCGGGGACCACAAATACGCACACTGGAACAAGTTGGCACCCCAGGTAAGAGGTGATATGGCTTGGGGAGGGAGTGGGAGCTGCTGGCCCTCAGAAGGGGAACAATGGCAGAGTTATGGGGCCTTTGTCCCTGCTGCAGCCCAGGCCCTGGGAAAGGCTTCACTGCTTGGTGTGAGGCCTGCTGCTGACCTTTCCCTGGCAGCACTTCCTTACACATCCACAGCCTGCTGAGACTGACTTCTCCAGGTCAGGGAGTTCAGAGCAGTTTGGTGGGATCTCCAGCACCCGCTTCGGGCAGGTGAGGCCTGTTCTTCTCAGAGCCTCAAACCCAGAGGAGAATCTAGGAACCAGGCACCTAGACTGCCAGCTGGAAACTCTGGAGGAGTCCTTATGGCATGTGCTGCGGCTTCTCCCTGCCCCTGAGGAGATGGTTTCCCCTCCTACAACAAGACAGATCCTGGGGGGGCATCACCTCCGCCACCACAAAGATCCCAAGGCACCTCTCCCCAGGGAAGAGGTGGGGAAATGTGCGGTAGGCAGGTCTCATCATCTCTAGGGGAGGAGGGGGTGGTCGACTTTGCAACACCCAGCTCCTGGGGCATCTCTCTTTGGGAACTTGGGGGTGTCACCATGAAGATCTCAAGGCATCTTTTCCCCAGGCAAGAAGGAGATGGAGGGAGGGATAGCTCAGTGATTTGAGCATTGGCCTGCTAAACTCAGGGTTGTGAGTTTAATCCTAGAGGGGGCCATTTAGGGATCTGGGGCAAAAATTGGGGTTTGGACTAGATGACCTCCCGAGGTCCCTTCCAACCCTGATATTCTATGATTCTATGTTATGATACAGGCAGGTCCCGTGGTCTCTCTGCACTAGCCAGATCCTACAGCACCTCACCCTAGGTGAGATGGGAGGGAGCGATCTCGCCCTAAAGCAGATCCCAGGTCCTGTTTCCTCTCGGATAGTGTCTGGTCAGCTTAAGTCTTAAGCCCAGTGCTCTTTGACTGAATTGGGGGTAACCCTGAAGGCTCCTGTGATGCTCCCTCCCCCAGGCAGGTACCTGGAACACTGTGTTGGTGTCCGGCTGCGACTGATTATGGGTGTTTCTAATGCTTCTGCAGCTTGCTGTACCCACAGAGACCTTGTTCTCTTGGCCCTCCCTGGCAGTAGGGGCTGGGGTACTGCCTTGCTTTTGTAGGTGGTGTGCTGGCTTTGAGCACCGGCTCTCACCCATCTTGCTTGCTCTCTCTCTCCCTCTCTCTCCTTGGAGCAGAAGCTTCCCGAGAACACCCTGAAGAGACTGGGGTTGGAACAGGCCAAGGTGCGTCACCTCCCCCTCCACCTGCACGCCCACCAGCTCACCCTGCCCACGGGGACCAGCGGGGACAAGCAGCTGCACCTGGTCTGCAGGCCGCCCCGTTTCTTCACAAACACTTTAAAGCGGCTCAAGCTGGAGATTCCAGAGTCGCTGGAAAAGTGAGAGGAGAGCGGAGCTGCCTGTCTCCGCAGCTGCCTTTGCTCCAATGACATCTGACTCTGGTCCCAGCTGCTGTGCGGTGCTGTCTGCCTCATGGGAGAATGGGGTGATGAGTTCAGTGATCTCAGCTGCTCCCGGAAAACCACAGCCACTGGGGACAATGGCTGTGCATTGACCTGTTTGATTGATCTTGGGCCGTTCAGCCGCTTGAGGGAGGTTCTGACTCAGACCCAAGGTCTGGTTCTGTGCAGAAACAGGACTGGATTCAGTGAAGAGCCAGCAGGTTCAGCCAGTTGTGGTTTAGCAGAGGCAGAGCAGGGCTTTGGATTCCAGGCAAACTCAAGCCGTGAACATCTCTAAACAATAAATGGTGTGATCTCATTCTACGCAGTAATGCTGTTAGGAGTTGTGTAATCTGGGAGAAAACCAGGTTGTCTCTGCCATGGGGCTTCCCACCACTGAGATGTCAGCTGCCATCAGCAAGAGGCACCAGAATGACCCATTTCGCTGTGCACTGTGCCGCAAAACCCTGCTGGGGGATGACTGACTGACTGCTGGGCTGAGCTGGTGGGGCCAGTTTCCCCTCTAAGGCCCTGAGCTGGAGGTATTGATGGGCTGGGTGAGTGACCCAGGGAGATGAGGGAAGTGCAAGGCTGGAATCCTGCCTCACAAATGAGGTGGGTTTCCCCAAGCTCAGCAAATGTTGAAGGGATCCTCTGGGGCCACGGGTGCGCTCGGTGACCCTGGTGTTCACCAAGTCTTGCAGCCTCTCCCCTCCTCTCATTTAATTCCATCTGGGGCTGCATTCTGGTGCTAGCCCCATTCACGCTCTGTACTGCTGGCAGCATGGCCAGGGCCCATGGTGCATGGAGTGGGGCAGCATAGCCCTTCCCTACTGGCTGGAGATCTGTGAATTGCTCTGTCTGAGCTGCCGTTCTGGTGGGAATGTGTATTAAGACAGTTGGCCATGGGGCAGGTCCCTGCCTGGGATCCGAGTTCTTCACCGCCACAGGCATTTGTAACATGTTCATTTGTAAACCACACAGTATAAATGCAGCCGCGGCTTTGCCTTGGCCAAGGGACTGCACAGAATGCATGCAGTTTTGTGCTGGAGCCTTCCCTCCCCACTGCCCACAGCACCCTTGGCAACGTAACTTGCATTCCCGCTGAGATTCCCTCAGCTCTGCAGCTTGCCTCCAGCCTTGTAGAAGCAGGTTTTCCTAGTGGCCCCCCAGGAACCCTGGGTGCTGTGCTGTGAGACCCGGTTCTTCGATCGCACAACAGCAGATTAATTCTAAGGCAAACTGCCAAATGCTAGATCAACATGAAACCCCCTCAGCTGAGCTCAGCAAGGGGCAGGGGATGGTGATTCTCCCCACGCAGCCCTGCCCTGTCTGTGTCACAACAATTCTAGTGCTTGCTCTCCATAAAAAGGGGTTAACACTTCTGGGGCGTGTGTTGTACAGTCAGACTATGATCTGTGACTCAGAATCAATGAATCCTCCCCTCCAGCCCCAGCCCCGGCCCTGGCTACAGCAGAGGCCCTGGCCCATTGTGCGGCAGAGACAGCTGAGCCCATGTAAAGTGACCTTTGCCAAGTCTGAGATGTCAGTGTGCAGGCCAGATGGGAGAGTTCATTAGCTCATGCTGGCCTAGGGCTTTCCTCTGTACAGGTGTTTGAGTGGGGGCATGGCTTCCTCACTGGGGGGCTCTTATCTCTACAGTTTATCCTGCCCCCAGCCCACACACACACTCCTTTGATCCAGTGGGGCACAGGTTTGCTGACTATGAGGACAAAGGGGGCAAAGCCCCAAGTCCTTGTTGAGGCGTGGCTGGGAGGCGGGAGGTTAATTGGTGGTGCTCTAGGGTTTGAAGGGTCTCTGGTTTTGCAGGGTGGGAAGGGATTGTGTTAAATACTGGATTGTCCATGTGGCTGGAATCTTAAGGGGATCTCCAGGTGAGTCCCATTTGGCTCACGGCTGGAGAGAGAGCACCTCACTGACCTCTCATCCCGCTCTATTCTTACAATGCTTGTCCATGGCCGTAGAGTGAGATGCGCTGATGTGCAGTAAGTAAATCAAAGTGGGATCTAAGCTTCCGGCCAGAGGGGCTTTAACATGGTCCTGCCTCTGCTAATTCAGTGGGGACCCCTGGCAAAGAGATGATGGACAGACAGCTGCATAATGAAGGGATAGTCTCTTGGGACTCATCCAGGCTAGACCCCCTCTCTCTTCCAGGGTTAGTCTGGCCTGAAAGGTGGTATGGACCCATCAGGAGAAGGCCTGTACCTGGCCCAGGCTCTGGATGGGGAGAGGTGAGGATGGCTGGGCAAGATGCCGCTGCAGCCAGAGCGAGAGGCTAGAGTGGCCAAGCAACCAGAGAGGCCCACTAAGTGAGCCCAAGGGCACGAGCATGGCAGCCTTTTACACTCAGAAGTGCCTCTGACAAGCCTGCATGGGGGAGGTTCAGCAGGATTTGGCCAGGGGGGAGAGGCAAAATCCTGAGCAAGCAAGTCAATTTAGGGATAGCTACCAATTTAGGGAGGGATAGCTCAGTGGTTTGAGCATTGGCCACCTAAACCCAGGGTTGTGAGTTCAGTCCTTGAGGGGGCCATTTAGAGATCAGGGCAAAAATTGGGGATTGGTCCTGCTTTGAGCAGGGGGTTGGACTAGATGACCTCTTGAGGTCCCTTCCAACCCTGATATTCTATGATCAAGGGGTGGCTGTTTAGGGGTGGAGGTCTTCACAGGATGAGGGTGGGGAGCCAGGGATCTGCCACTGAGCTTAACTAGGAAGAGTGCTGGGCCCCCTGAGCAGCGGGAACGGGCAGTGGGATTTCTAATGTGGCTGTCGTCCCTGAAAGAGTACAACTTCCCATGCAACAAGCAGGAGAAAATGGTGTGCAAGAGACCCCCCTGGGACCTCTAGAGGCACAGGCCAAAGGCTCGAGAAGAGGGTGGACCTGGAGGGTCCATCGGCAGGCACACCAAGGCCGAGATTTTTAAACATCTTTAAAAATCTGTGAGAGTGAGGTACCTAGATACCTTTGAAAATCTGCCCTTGCCTGCTCCTCTCTGCCCGCCCTGAGGGGCCATCAGCTCTTGTGCTCAGCAGCGTCTCCTCTGAACAGCACAGCTGTGTCCCTTCCCTCTGGTAGGCGCACATGTGAGTGTCTACTGGAGTCTGGGGCTTGGCCTGGTCAAACACCTACCATGCTCGCCTTGCAGCCCTGCAGTGCCTGGGGCGGTGTCAGGCCGCAGAAAGAGGCCTCTCTGTATCATGCCACTAATGGCTGCCCGCAGGGCTGGGGATCTGCCTGGCTGAGAATCACTCACCTCGCAGCGAGCGTCAGCGGTTATTACAGCTGACACTTGCGTGCATCCCCCAGCCCCCCAGGCATGGGAGCTGGGGCTGGGATTGTGCCTCCCTGCCAACCCTCCTGCTCATTACTGGATGTGAAAATAGCCCAGCAGCCCCACGCCCCTTAAAATCGCTGCTAGAAATAAATCCATTCATGAGAGAGGGCTGTAAAACCACAGGGACGCAGCCTTTCGTGGGGTTGCCTGTGGCTGGGTGAGGCACGCCAGGGCCCAGCAATCAGTGCGGCCCTCCTGCTGCGACTCTGGCCCCTCTATTTGAGGGAAAGCTATTTGTAACTTTCCTAGAAAAAAAGCTTCCCTTGTAATTAGCAATGCGCTGCCCGGGCTGTCATTTACCACTGCCCGGTACATAATGCTGGGCAAATGCAGCTTTCAACCCCACAAGTGCTCATGCCCTGCTAGCTACTGCTCGGCCGGGATCAAACCATAAACAACGCCAGCAGCTGCATCGTCTCTGCTCCTGGAGTCATGTCTATCGCACACACGGCCGCCGAGTACATGCTCTCTGATGCTTTGCTCCCGGACCCTAACGGCTCCCGAGCCAAAGGCCTTCGCCTGGAGTTACCGAGCGACCGCGTTGTGAAGTTCGTCACGGTGGGCCTGCCCCTGTTCCTGGTGTCCCTGGCGTTCGCACGGGAGTTTTCCATGGGTGAGTTGCAGGGTGGGGTGTTGTCGGGACTGGTTTTGGATCAGCATTAAGGGGAAGAAGTTCTAGGGCAGGAGCAGGGTATGCAGCACAGACCCCATTGGCTTCCTCAGGCTCTGGTTCTGCTGGCGCATCACGGGTACATGGAGGGCTCAAGGAGCGAGGTCAGAGTTTATGGTCAGAGTTCTGGGGGTATGGAAGAGTTTCAGAAGGGCGATAAGACCTTGTGCTATTTCATGTAGTACTTGCTCCAGCCTCTAATTACTAGGGGTTAGGGTGACTCCTTAATGGGGAGTTGACTGTCCCACGTCTGCCACTGCAAGGTTCTTCCATCTGAAGCATCTGGTTCTGGTCGCTGTCAGAGCCAGGCCACTCAGCTAGATGGACCTCGGTCTGATCCAGGCTGGCAGTTCCTACGTTCCTGTGAATACTCTGTGCTCCCCTGGAGAGTCTGTGGTGTTTATCATCTGTGTTGCAATAATGCCTTGGAGCCCCAGTCATGGCCTAGGGCCCCATGGTGCAAGGCACTGTACAAAGAGAATAGAAAGCCCCGAAGAGCTTCCGATCTAAGCAGGGTTCTGCTGCGGCCGGGGGGACCATTCCGTAGCCAGCATCTAACCTTGGACATAACTTGCCACAATTCTGACAAAAACAACGGCTGCTTCCCTCTCCTTGGGGTTCCCAGTTCCTGTGCTGATGTGGCTCTGTGTTATGTGTGGTCTCGCTCCTCTCTCTCTCTCTCCTGCCCCTGGATGTTCTTGGAGGCTGTGGTTTTCTCTGTCCCTGCAGCCCTTCAGGGAGCCAGCCCAGCCAGCGCTGGGATGCTGACAGTGCTTGAATTGACTCTTCTTTTCCCGGTTTATAGGACTTGGCCTAGGTTCCTATTACACAAAGGTTCATTGATAACACAATTGGATGCATCTTAACCTCAGGCTAAACATGGACTTGGAGGATGATCTGCTTCTGCCTCCAGAGGCTTTGGTCTCACTTCCTTGCTTTCTACCTCTTTCTGTCCATCCCACGGCTACATGCCCTGTGTTCTTGCTGAGAGAGACGTGTGTGTGTGTGTACGGGGGGCGGGAGATGAGGGGGTTATGTCACAATCTCTTAAGTCTCCTTTGTTGGTTCAGTTGCTGCTCCTGGAAGAGAGAGAGCATCTATTAAAATCAAAAGGGAGATGCCTATTTACGCAATGTGTGTTTAGCCTGTGGAACTCCCCTCCACATGATGTTAGAGAGGGAACAAGCTAAGCAGGTTTCAAAAGAGGGTTAGACATTTCCCTGAATATTAAGAATATCATTGGCAATTAGACCTGCTGGGAGAGACATTTATGAGGGATACTCCCATCTTGACAGAAGCCAACCACTGCTTAGCCGATGCTAAGGACAATGAAGAAATTAACTATCAGGATGATTTTTCACTAACTTCTACAAAGTTATGGCTCTGGTCAGAGAAGGAATACAAGGCTGGCTGGACCAGGGGAGCAACCCCTGGATCAACCTTACTGTAATGTGTGGACAGAAAAGTTGTGGTCTTATGAGAAACTTCAATTTGAGAGACACCTGCTGGAGGTCGCACTGAACCAGTAGTAAAATATCATTAGCTTCTTTTATGGGTGATGATGGTCTAACACAAAGGGTGTTGCATTTAACATGAGGTAACTGTATTTGGACTCATTCTAATGACTAAAGATGAATTTGGTGGTTGTCTAGGGGGCAGTGATCAGGAATTGATTAAATTTAATATGGGCAAGTAGAGGCTAGTTCCAACCAGTAATAGAAGCACTTGGTGTTTCAAAAGGGTTCATTTCCCTAAGCTGAGGAAAATTATCAGTGACATTGGAAAGAAAAACGTAGAAAACTGTGAATGAAAACTGGGAGTTCTTTAAAAAGAATGTATTAGTTGGCCAAAAAGCCATGATTCCACAATTGAGAGAGAGAGCAGCTTTGGCTAACGGTCCTCCTGGTTCAATGGCAAAATAACGCAGCAATTAGCAATAAGAAAGCACTACGTAACAAATGGAAAAAAGAAAATACACAGCAATTGATAGAAATTAGAAGTTATGAAATGTGGAAAATCTAGTGATAAAATATTTAAAATTAGCAGGCCTGGATAACTTGTAACCAAGAGTCCTAAAAGAGCTGGCTGAGGAGCTCTCTGGCCAGCTGATACTAATTTTTTATAAATCTCAGAATCTTGGGGGAATTCAAGAAGACTGGAAGAGTGCTAATGTGATGATGATAAAAAAGAGCAGGCAGGATGGCCCAACGAAGTATGTAAGTTATAATAAACTTTTGTAAGGTGTTTGACTTAGCACCACACAACATTCTAATTTTAAAAATTTAGCACCCCACAATATCAATAGACCACACATTAACTGGATTAGAAACGAACTGACGGATCTCAAAAAGTAGCTGTCAGTGGGGAACCTTCATTGAATGGGGGTGTTCCGCTGGAGTTCTGTACGGATCAGTACAAGGCCTGATACTATTCAGCCACTGGAACAAACTACCAAGGGAAGTTTGGTAGATTAGAAGTTTGGAAGATTCTCCAGTCTTCAGATCAAGACTGGATAGCTTTCTGGAAGATGCTTTAGCCAAACACAAGTCATCGGGCTCAACAGAGGGGTAACAAGCCTGTGTTATTCAGGAGAGATCCCTTCTGGCCTGAAAATCTGTGAATCTAATGTTACAGTGTTGTAACATTTCTGCCAGGAAAGCTTTGGTCTCTAGTCCCGGAAGCGGAGGACACTTGTGTTTGTGGGGTTATTTGTGTATGTCTGACCAGAGAGTGTGAGGTTTGTGGATATAATTTCCATCCCGCCTCAGAAATTTGTTCTTGGACTTAATGTACAGGAGGCTGGGTGGAGCCAGAGAGAATAAAATTGACGTGTTTTTGCTGGGTTGTTCCTTGATTACATAGATTGAGGGGCCACCCGGTTATTAGTCTCCTGAATGGACATTGAAATAGTCTAGCTGATGGGCTCTGTAGGCTATTCACAGCGTTAGAGCTGTGGGTAGCTCTGTGTGTATGTAAAGCACCAGAACATGGTGTTACAGGAATGAACTTGTCGCCTTCAGGGACAGGATCATCTCATAGACTATCAGGGTTGGAAGGGACCTCAGGAGATCATCTAGTCCAACCCCCTACTAAAAGTGGGACCAATCCCCAATTTTTTTTGCCCCAGATCCCTAAATGGCCCCCTCAAGGATTGAACTCACAACCCTGGGTTTAGCAGGCCAATGCTCAAACCACTGAGCTATCCCTCCCCACAATCTCAAATGCCTTGATTAGCAAAGCTGGTTCCTTGATAGCCCCCCCCAAACTTAAATCATGATCTGGGCAAGACAGCAGCTCAATGCACCCTAGCTGGCCTGGCCTGAGCCAACAAGTGCACTTGTGTTTACCAGCAGCAAAGTCTAGCCTAGTGAGCTGCCTGGGGTTTGGCAGATCCGGTATCTCATCTTATGACCCACCTGTAGCCCATGGGCTGGGGCTGCTGCAGTAGGAGCATAGCTGGGAGTTTCACTGCCCCAGTTCCTCCAGCCCCCTCCAAAACTAACAGGCCTGGAGCAGGGATGGGGAGCTGGGGGCTGCAGGGCTGTCGGGTAGCTGCATTCCTGCTGCATCAGCCCCACCAGCAAGCTTGCGGCTAGGTCTGAGCACATAGCGTGACATGCCAGCTGGAGTCAGAAGACTTAGTGGAGTCCCTGGGGGCATAGCCTGGGGGTTGTAGGGGGGAGCAGAGAGGGATCCCCCAGTCAGTGGTCTATAGGAGCTCACTAGACCACCCCTGCAGTGGGCAGTGGTTTGTGGGGTAAGTACCCAGAATGCCTTGCACCTGAACGGGTATAGGGGGGCATTGGTGTGGCTGCAGGAAGGACGCCAGGATCCAAGCTCAGCGAGGCTGCGCTGAACCGCTCCTATCGTACTACTCAATTCTCAGTGCTGGCTGGAGCCAGACTTTCCTGCCAAGCCTGGCTTTGCCAGTGAGGCTGTTCCTGGGCTGGCAGGAGCCTTTGCCACAGGGAATCTCACCTTTTCGGGCCAGGGCAAGACGAGTTGTGCCCAGCCAACTGTGTTACATGAGCTGTTGGGGAGACAGGGCAGCAGGGGATACCCCAGGGGCTGTAGTCCCAAGGCAGCTGCGAGGAGTGTGGACAACACAGCCCAGGTCCATTGTGTTTTACAGACCCTGGCCCAGTCTGATCCCTGCCCAGCTCCAGCCTGCAGGGAATCTGGCAGCCCGGCAGCAGTCGGCATGACCCCAGCCAGCAGAGATTAACTAAGTTGCTGGCTGCTGCCTGCTCCATGCCCACAAGGGGGTGCTATCCACAGTGCATAGCAGAAGGGGCAGTGTAGACGGGCGGGCTGTGGGCTGGGAGGGGAGTGGGTAGGAACGGGGGCTGCTGGACGCACGTTCACCGCAGAGATTCAGGGTTCTGCGTTAGTGGGGACGGGGCGGGTGGAATCCCCGCCTGTGGGTCCACCAGCTCCTCCCTCTTGCTCTAACCACTTGCGCTCTGTTCCAGGGACCCAGATCAGCTGTTTCTCACCCGCCAACTTCACAGGGAAGCAGTCTGCATACGTTGATACGTCTTGCTGGGATTCCTTGATCCACTATGAATTTGATGCTGCTGGAAACACGACAGCCAAATCCCTCTGGACTCTCAAGGTAGTGGGGCTGATGGGTTGGGGGAGCTCTGCATTTCAAGGGGCTGAAAATCCGCCCCCGATGCAGTGTCTCCAGGGCCAGTGGCATTTGGGTGGGCAAGGGACCCAGGTGAAGAACACAACTCATCAGGATACAGTGCTCACTGCCCCCCTGTCAGCCAAAGGCGAGAGGGACAGGCTGGCCTTTGCAGTGCACCCTAAGGGGCTCTGTTGGACCAATTTGCCCCAAAGCAGGAAGCCCTGCCCCCAGCCCCAGCTGGTGGAATCCCTGCTGATCTCCATCATGGCTGTGGCACGCGGCAGAGAGATTTATGTCTGACAGGCAGGCTCCAGCCACCTGGGGCTTGTGGGATCTAGGCCAAATGGCTCCAGAAGTGACTAGGGGGTCAGTGTGATTATGGTTCTGCTGTAGCATGCTCCTTGCAGTCAGCTCTGCCCATCGGCCGGGCGGCTCCACTCTGCAGCAGCTGAAACTGCCGAGTGGTGTCCAGGGGCAGCCCCGTGCAGAGTCCGTGGCAGGGACTCGGCCTGGGTGTTACAAGGCAGCGACTCTTGGCGCAAGGTCCAGATCTCAAAGAAGCGATCATGGTCACATCGTTGGGCAGAGAGGCCTCAATGCCACTTCTGTGTGTTTGGGAGCAGCCCCCACAGAGCTTCTGAACAAACCACCTCCGTGTAGAAGCAAGAACCACCTCTGCCATCTCTAAGAATCCCCCACTCAGGATCTCCTCTATTTACCTTGCAAACCCTGCATCAGCTCCCAGGGGCCAAGTGGAGTGTCCTGATCTGTGAGGCTCATCTGGAGAGCGATGTTGTTTGGGGTTCGAGTTCCCCTGGGTCTGTCCAGCTTCCCCCCTCCCCCCCCTTCAAGGAGGCCTCATGGATAGGGCACTGGGCTGGGATTCAGGAGAACTGGATTCAATCCCTAGCTCTGCCACTGACTCCCTGTGGGACCTTGACCAAGTCTCTACCCTGCCCCATGCCTCAGTTTCACCATCTGTAAGATGGGGAGGATGAGCCATTGTAAAGTACTTGGAGTGGTCAGGTGGGAAGTGCTGTGTAATCGCTCGGTATCATTATATCTGGGGTTAGACCTCAGGGCTGCAGCTCCTGATCCGCTGTTCAGCCTTAGCCTGGCCATTCCCTGCCTCCTGAGTGTTACTCCCGGGGGGATTTTGTGCCTCTGCGCATGCGCAGAATGTATGTCCCCCGCAGATTTCTTTGCTTCCCCACAGAGCAGTCATGCGACCCTCCCCAGCAATAAGTTTCAGGTGCCCAGGGCAGCTGGCAGACAAGTAAATCACTGTGGGGCAGCGGGCGGTACTGGGGAAGATCTGGCCCGTGGCTCCTACCTTGTGCTGGGCTCAGCTGCTAGTCCCAGCTGAGCTAGGGAGGACAGGACTTCCTCTTCCTCTTCATGGCATCTGGGACTGGGTCAGACCCACACCAAGATTTCTCCCCCAGCTGCAGGAAGCTCTGCAAACTCCCTACGACCCCCAGTTCCTGCACCTATTGCTCCTCAGCTGCAGGGGGAGGGATCTCTGTACCGGGAGCTCCTCCCCCATCTGCCCAACCCCCATGCATCCAGATCCCCTCATACCCAGATCCTCCCGGAAAGCCTCACTCCCCCCACCCCTCGCACTCAGAACTCCTTGTGATGAGTCCTACTCCCCCTGCACCTGGACACCCCAATGAGCCACCCAGATCCCCACCACACTGAGCCCCAAACAGCTATACGTGGATCCCCACCCCACTGAGCCCCACTCCCCTAGCATCTGGACCCCCCTGTGAGCTCCCCACACCAAGACCCCTCTGCCAAGCTCTATCCCCCCCACACCCAGACCCCCTCCTGCTGAGCCCCAACCACCTTCACCTAGACCTCCCTGCGGAGTCCCATTACCATTGCACCCAGAAACCCCCAACAAGCCCCTGTGAATGCAGATTCCCCCTGTGCCCGGATCCCCCACTGAGCCGTCTGCATCCACCTGGTTCCCCCACCACACTAAGCCCCTTCATGCTTGGATCCTGCCTTGCTGAGCCTGCCTGCCCACACCTGGTGCACCTGGCATGGAGGGGCAGGGCCCTGAGGTGTTTCAGGGGCAGGCCCAGTCCTTGCGCTTTGTCAGGGTCGGATGCAGCCTCACCGCTGAGTCCATGTTCCGGGGGGAAGCTGCACAGTGATCTCGCACCTCTGTGCAGCCAGTGGCTTCTGCTCCCCAGTGCCATTGCTGGACCCTCCACATGTATTTGACAAATAACATTTGCAGAGTTTTAAAATATTGTGCGCAGAATTTTTAATTTTTTGGCGCAGAATGCCCTCAGGAGTAGAATGTGCAGCCCTGAATGGCCCTGACTTGCTGCCTGGCTTGTCCTTTATGCTCCTGTTATAGTCTGTCCTGACCGCTGCTCTGCTGGCCATTGCGCTTGTGCTCTCGCTCTTGCTGGTCGAGGTGGCCTCAGTCATTGCATTGTCCTTTGCCCAGGCCTTCCCCTACTCCCTGCTGCTCATCGCGGTGGCCATGTACCTGCCCTCCCTGCTGTGGAGATACACAGCTGCGCCTGCGCTGAACAGCGACCTGCTCTTCATCATCGACGAGCTGGACAAGTCCTACAACCGCTCCATCCGCTTGGTGCAGCACATGGTGAAGGTCCGCCAGGCCAGCACAGATGCCCGGCTCTTCTGGGAGGAGTTTGAGAAGTGAGTCAGTGGCTTGAGGACTGACCCTTTGGGTTCCTCCTCCCGTTCCCAGCGTGCACAGTCCCGCAGCCATCGTCTCGCCAGAGGAGGTCCAGGGGTCTGACTGAGCCCTTTTCCTTGGAGATCTGGGCAGATCCATGGCAAGAGAGCTCTGCAGTGGGGCAGGCCGGAGGGATCTCCTTGGAGAATGTCCTTAGGACTGGTCCAGCCAGGAGGGACCCTCCAATGCCCAGGCCGGGTCTCTGCCCCCAAACCTGTTGGAACGGGGGTTCCCGCCCAGCCCCAGCTCCCCCAAGACCATGCTACCAGGACCTTCCCTCACCGAGGCTGCCCTCAGGCCCACCCTGTTGTGGGGAGGGGGTTCCTCAGAATGCAGGGGCTCTGAGGGGAAGGTAACACAGACTGGACCTGGGTGGTGGATCCCAGTAACCCAGCCCCCCACTCCCTCCCCTGTGGAGAGCCCTCTGTGGGGGCCGGGGATGGGCTGCAGGATTTGCCCTCCACATGCTCCTGCAGGGAGATCTGTTCCTGGAAGCCCCCTCCCCACGTGGGGCTGTGGTCCAATCTGGTCCGGCATGTGTGTGTCTGATCCCATCCACAGCACAGAAAGGTTGATGCTTATTGGAGGGTTGCCATTCACACGTGGATTGACATAACAGCCTTTGCCCTCAATCCCGTGTTACTTTTTGCTTTCCAGGAGGTTACATTTTATCCAGACACGTTTTTTCAGCTTCTTAATTTCTGCATTTTGATTACGCTAGAAAAGGGGGAATGCTGCAATTTTTAGTGACTAGAGGAGGATTTAATTTTTTCCTCGTGATTTGCGTCATGCTCCATTTGGGTGGAAATTAAAATTCAATTACATGCACAGAACCAGCATTTAAAAACTGATCTTTTTATTAAACAAAATTACTCAAAATGTGTTGGCTACGGACGAGAAAAAAGTTGATCAAAACATGTTCTGAGTATAAACAAACTGACTCATTAACAACCAGCCTCCCAGTGTCCCATCCCTGAGCACCCCCATCGCTGCTTGGTGCTCAGTGCCAGGGTCACATTGGGGGCTAGACTAGATGACCCTTGAGGTCCCTTCTAACCCTCTGGTTCGATGATGCTGGTTAATGCACAGGCAGAGTTCTGATCCATCCAGCACTACATCCCCTTGGCATCAGGGGCCGGGGATTTAACCCTAGAGGTGGAATTTACAGGCCAGGTTCTCAGCTGGTGTAAGCTGACTTCAGTGAAGTGACCTAACTTACTCTAGCTGAGAAACTGGCCCCAACTACCCCTCTGTCTCTCCCCCAGGGCTCGCAGGGAGCGGTACTTTGAGTTCCCTCTGCTGGAGCGGTACCTGGCCTGCAAGCAGCGCTCGCACTCCCTGGTGGGCGCCTACCTGCTGCGGAACCTGCTGCTGCTGCTCCTCATCGCTGCTACCTGTCTCTACCTGGGATTTCTCCACCTCCGCGTCTTTTTCCAAGATGAATTCAGCTGCTCCATCAAGACAGGGCTCCTGCGGGATGAGCCCCAAGTCCCGGACGTGATTCCCTGCAAGCTGGTCTTCTTCTCCGTCTTCCAGCTGATCAGCCTCTCCAACGGGGGGGTCTATGTCCTCCTGGCACCTGTGGTCATCTACAACATGCTGCAGCTCCTCCAGTGGGACAAGCGCCTCCTGTCCATCTATGAGATGCTGCCCGCCTTTGACCTCCTCAGCAGGAAGATGCTGACCTGCCCCGTGAACGACCTGAACATCATCCTCCTGTTCCTGCAGGCCAATATCTCCGAGCTTAAGTCTTTCAGCAGGCTGAATGCGGTGTGCGCCCTGAGGGAGGTCACCTCCAGCCCACAGAACATCGACACCGTGGTGGATTTCATGACCCTCCTTGCCGGCCTGGAGACGTCCAAACCAAAACACCAGGCCTGCGCTGCAGGGGCCGAAGGAAACCCTCCTGCTTCGAGCAGCGAGATCCTGGGTAAGAGATGAAAGGAACCTTCCTCCCTCCCTCTGGGTTAGTTTGAATTGAAGCACAGAAATCTCGGTGGGAAGTTGATGAAAAATCGACATGGTGCTGGCAAAGCACCTCCATTCCCCCTGCTAGACGTCAGATCTTACCTGGTCACCTAGCCTGTAGCCAGCCTGCCATGACAGGAGCGCTTCCTACTGGGTGATTCTCCATGCCCTGTGCAGCCTAGTTCTAAGTATCTTGGGCAAGGAGGCTCCCGTCACTTCTTTGGGGGAATATTCCAGAGTTCACAAGTGCTGATCTTTTCTTGACTGTCATCCTCAATTCTCCTTACTTGCATCTCATTACTTCTCCTCTCCCTCCTGCACCACCCCAATTATCCCTCTGGTGCTTCTAGCCTTGCTGGCAGTGCCAGGTGAGTGGTGAATATCCCATCTGCCGGAAACCTGCAAAGCTCTCGAGCGTATTTGGTGATATCCCAATTTTCTTTCTTTGCTTGGACGAGCTGGGGTGGGGGGCAGGGCGTTGTGTAGGGCACACGTTCTGCTCGGTGCCCTAGGAACCATGTTTATTACCTGATTGCAGGGCGTTCCGCAGCAGCTCATTATGAATAATAGAATCATAGACTATCAGGGTTGGAAGGGACCTCAGGAGGTCATCTAGTCCAACCCCCTGCTCAAAGCAGGACCAATCCCCAGATCCCTAAATGGCCCCCTCAAGGATTGAACTCACAACCCTGGGTTTAGCAGGCCAAAGCTCAAACCACTGAGCTACCCCTCCCTCAAAATTCAAACTTACGTAAGTCACATGGTCTTCTTTCTGGTTCCCGATTGGACGGCTTCTGCGACGAGCCATGTCGGAGCATGAGCTGCTCTTCCAGTTGTGGAACTTGCTCCTGGTGCGTAAAAGCTGCTTGGGGTATTTGTGGAACACAGATGTGCAGGGGGCACGAGTGTAGGTGCAGAAAACTCCCCCGGGAATAGCCCCAGGATCTGCCCAGCTCTGTGCAGAGGGGAGACCTCTCTGCCCGCCCCCCCCAACCCTCAGCCCTTCTCACGTTCCCCAATTTTTCTTTTGCAATAGTAACGAACCTAGAAGATCACCGTGTGCCACAGACCAACCCTGAACCACAAGAGGGCAACCGGCCCCTGCAGGGCACAACGGGACCCCTCTTGGGTGGGCGCAGGGGCAGAAGTTCCAAACCGGACCTTTCTAGGTCACAGATGCTTCATGGCAGCCGGGATTTTGCGGCTGTTGGGATTTTGCATGTGGGTGGGTGGCTGCCATAGTAACAGTTGAACCAGTTTCACTGGAGAGCTGGCAGCTTAAAAGCCAGGCTGCCTGCAAGGCTCAGAGGGAGCTGAAGCTCTGCCCATTGGGGGCCACTGCTGGGGGCAGGCCCCGCAGGCCGTGGGGCAGCAGCTTGGAGCCCTGTGCCCCTTCTCCTGGGTCACCGAAGGGCAGACTGAGGCCCAGACAGGGGAGGCGTCTCAGGTGCGGCACGAAGTGAAGCATCCTGGTGGGTAGTTGTTTGGCTGTAAACTCGGGGTTCCTGCCTGTCTCCTGTGCCCTGAGCGAACGGGGCCGAGGTGGGAAGGGTGGGAGCAGAGGCACTGCATGGGGCCTGGGAAGGGAACGCTGCACCGTTCAGCACGTCTCCCAGGCACCTCGGTGTCTCTCTGCTGGGCCAGCGAAAGGCACCCGCAGCCCCTGACGCACCTCTCGTCTCGTTCCCACCACGCTCCCCCGGGGCAGCTGCTGTCTGGCCTGAGCTCTTTGCTTTCCAGGCCCGCTTCGCTCCCAGTTCTCTCCCCAGCCCCCGTTCTGCTCGCTGGCTCCTGGGCCGTGTGGGGTGCGCTACTGGGCAACGCCTGGCTGGCCGCTCCCGCTCTGGGGCAGGGAATGGAGCGTGGCTGTAAACCTACCTCCTGCTCTAGCCCAGCTTGAATTGATTTCCTTTGGCCTGTCTGGGCTCCCGGCCAGGTACAGCGCGGGCAGCTGGTCGCCACGGACGGGAGCTGTCCTGTGTGCCATCCCCCTCACTCTGACAATGCCGTCTTGGGTTAGAACATGGGCCTAGGAACTCCTGGGTTCTCTTCCTTGTTCTGCCATTATTGGCTGTATGCCCCCCTCCACCCATCTGTACCTCAGTCTCCCCTTCTGTAAAGTGGGGAGCATGATCCCTATCCCTCTTTGGGCAGTGCCCTGAGCTCTCTGGCTGAAAAACACAAGGGTCATGCTGAGTATTATCAGCCCTGTCAGCACGGTAACAGCTGCTTCGGCTCCTGGATGGCCAGCGAGCAACAAACCTGCCTCCCTTCCTTTCAAGAGCAGCACAGCACAGCATGGCAGGGGGAGCCTGGGGGCTCAGAGGAATCACCTGGCCGTGGTGTAGCTATCAGCCATGCTCGTGGCTAGAAACATCCTGGAGCGGCAGCCCACCCTTACCCGCGGCCACGCCTCCCTTATAGGCCACGCCCCTGGGATGTGGGGGACCCAGGTTCAAATCCCATCCCATCCCATCCCTGCCAGATGCTTTGTTCTTGCTCTTTCCTCGGTTCAGTGACTATCCACAGGCAGCAGGAATGACTATAAGTTATGGCTAAGGGAGCTTCCCTATGTCCTTACAGCAGTGCCATAGAACAGAGCGACCCTTGGAGGCCACATAACAGCTGTGAGGGTGGCTCGGGAGAATAGCTGCTCTTCAAACTGTGACCAAGGGGCTGGATCCCATCAGTGGGGAGAGCCAGACTGCAGAGAAGGGAGTTGGAGCTGACCGGAAGGGGACAGGAGCACTAAAAACCTGGGGCTGCTTTGCTAGAAAGAGATCCCCTGATACCTTTAGCTGCATGAAATAATGAGGGTGGGGAGAGGGTGCCCCATTTCCCCATCCGAGCATCCCGTAAGAGAGCAAAGGGCACACAGTGGCAAAAAGCAAGAAATGGAGAATGGATAAAAGGAAACTGAGTACAATGTATAATTAAACGGTGGACCTCGCTGCCACTGGATTTGCTAGAAATGTAATCTATCGCTGATGCTGGCTATGATCAAATGACAAGAGCCAGCCGTCTTTGCGCTTCAGTATGGGTGCTCATTAGTGTCCAGCCGGAGCTGGGGACGATTCCCTCGTTACACAAAGAACTGACTGAATGAGGGAAATGGGGGGGGTCTTATGCCTCTTCCTGGAGCCCCCAAAGGTGGCCATGCTTGGACAAAAGGTATCAACCTAGCTGGACCCTTCTGCTATGGCAGTCCCTGCAGGAAAGAGTGTACCCTGACTGTCTGAGACAGGGCGATGGGAGGGCGAGGCTGGTGGGGACCAGGTGCCAAAGCTCTTGCTCCAGTGAGGCTGGTCACATCCCTTTATTTTTAAGGGGAAAGGGAGAGCCCTATCACCCACATGTGCTGGTGACTTTCTCTTCTCCCCCATTATCTAGAAATGAAACCCACAGGAGAAGCTAAAAGAAACACTGGTCCCAAGCCCGGCCTGCCTGGCTCTGCCTGAGTGATGGACCCTGACGGATTGCTGAGCCAGGACGGGAAGATCACAGCTCCCCTGCCGAACGATGACAAGATGTTAGAGGACAACTAAGAAATGTAACATAACCAAATCCATGGGGTGAATCCAGGCCACTGGCCTACGCCCAGCTACTGCTCTAGGATTGGCTCTGCATCCATCCCACCCATGTCGTCATGGCTGAAACCGTTCATGGTCCTAGTTATATGTCAGATCCCTTCCTCAGCGCCCATCAAACTTGTTTTTATCTGGACCAGGGTAATCATCACCTGCCATTCTCTTGGGTCCAGCTGCTCCAGTGCAGCTGTGGGGCCCGATTCTGGTTTTATAGCAATTATATCCCCGTGTATCGATGGACACCGGCAGAGATACTCCTAATGTGCTCTAGCAAAACTGATCTCAGTGGAGTTACTTGCCCCACAGGAAGTGAGAGTACCAGTGGGCCCAGGTGCCTGAGGAAGGCATATTCAAAATTAAGCAGAGGAAAGGGAAAAGGGTTCATAATTAAAAAGTGAACGCTGTGTATTGCTCTTGCTTTAAAGGTATTTGGATTCTGCGGAAGCAGGCTACTCTGAAGGACAGTAAGGTGCTAGACTAGAACCCACGAGCCCTGAGGGGGAGGGATAGCTCAGTGGTTTGAGCATTGGCCTGCTAAAAACCTAGGGTTGCGAGTTCAATCCTTGAGGGGGCCATTTAGGGATCTGGGGCAAAAATTGGGGATTGGTCCTGCTTTGAGCAGGGGGTTGGAGTAGATGACCTCCTCAGGTCCCTTCCAACCCATAGGGACTACAACCCAGCTGGCTAGTCACATGGTCCTGGCTCACTCCCTTGCCAGCTGTAGGTGTCAGGCTTTAAAAGCAGCTGGAAACAAGAAGCAGGGGTCAGCACAACTGCCTCCATGAAGAGCTACTGCCATGTCATAGAATCATAGGACTGGAAGGGACCTCAAAAGGTCATCTAGTCCAGTCCTCTGCACTCGTAGAAGGACTAAGTATTATCTAGACCATCCCTGGGATAGCTGTTTGTCTAACCTGCTTTTATAAATCTCCAATGATAGAGATTCCACCACCTCCCTAGGCAATTTATTCCAGTGCTTAACCACCCTGATGGGAAGTTTTTCCTAATGTCCAACCTAAACTGCCCTTGCTGCAATTTAAGCCCCTTGCTTGTCCTATCCTCAGAGGTTAAGAAGAACAATTCTTCTCCCTCCTCCTTGTCACAACCTTTTATGTACTTAACTGTTATCATGTTCCCCCTCAGTCTTCTCTGCTCCAGACTAAACAAACCCAGTTTTTTCAATCTTCCCTCATAGGTCATGTTTTCTAGACCTTTCATCATTTTGGTTGCTCTTCTCTGCAGTTTGTTCACATCTCTTCAATTTATCCACATCTTTCCTGAAATGTGGTGCCCAGAACTGGCCACAATACTCAGTTGAGGCCTAATCAGTGTGGAGTAGAGAGGAAGAATTTCTTCTCGTGTCTTGCTTACAACACTCCTGCTGACACATCCCAGAATGATGTCAGGGAAGGGGGAGAGGAAACAGCACCTGCTCCAAGGGACCCATCCCTCCGTGGGCAGGTGCTGCTAGTGAGGGAAGATGGGCCAGGGGTTAATGTACTAGCCTGTGATTTGCAGGTCCCTGCTCTGCCACTGTCTGTGCAGCTTACAATGGAGTTAACAGCCCTGCCCTGCCATGCAGGGGTGGTGGGAGGATAACCTGTGAGGTGCTCAAGTACTCGAGCAAGAGGGGCCATATAAGTACCGTAGATAGCTAGTTACCAGCGGGAGAGAGCTGGCCGGGCAGCCAGGGCCGAGGAAAAGGCAGGAGACAGGGGCCCACAGGGCCAGGGGGATGCCACTAAAAGCAGGCCGCTCGGCACAATAGAATAGGAGCCCTTGAGGTTCTAACATCCCCACTCAGCTGGGCTAGGCTCTCCGGTGGCATGGGCTGGTGTTCACAGCTCTCGGCAGTTGGGTTTTAGCGGGCAGTGGTTTGCTGCCCTCTCTTTGCACTCAGAAGTTCTTGCTTTAAAGTATTTCTATTTGCGAACCTAGAGAATAAAATGGCAGTACTGGGGTCAGCGCTTGGTGGGGAAGAGACAGAACCGAAGAGTGACATGTAGCTTCTTGTATCTAACCTGGTGGACGTTGCTCTTAAAGCCACAGGATCCAGCAGGGGTAAGGGCTGGTGGGTAAGGCACTAGACCGGGACTCAGGAGAGCTGGATCCCAGGCCTGGCACAGACATCCTGAGTGACTGTGGGCACTACATGGGGCCAGATTTCCAGAATAGTTCAGCTCCCGTTGATGCCCCTAAGTAAGTGGGTAGTTTCCCAAGAGCTGTATGTGCTGGCCGCTGACCAGTGGAGAACGTGGCCCTTAATCTCTGTGCCCCAGTTCTCCAGCTATAAAATAAGGATGATACTTTCTTCCCCCATTGGTCTGCTTCTCTGCTTAGATTGGAAGCTTGTTGGACCGAGGCTGTTTTTCTGTGAGCGTGTATAGTGTCCAACACCAGGGGCTGCTGCTCTCGGCTGGGGCCTCTCCACCTCACTGCAATGCAAAGAACTAATATTCGCTTTCACCCAAGTCAGGGGAAATGCTGTCCCCAAAAGACCTGCATGTACAAGCTCTGGATGTAACCAGCTCAAAAGAGCCAGCGAGAAAAGGAATCATCCATAAGGAAATAAGAGATCAACTGTTACAAAAGCACAATCAACTCCAAACCTTTATTATTTGTAGTTTTCATAATTTACAGGAAGAGAAACATCACACCAGACAAGAGGTGGGCAAACTACGGCCCGCGGGCCACATCCAGGACGGTCCTGCGGTCTTGTCAGGGGGCAGGGGTGTGGATGGGGGTGGGGCAGTCAGAGAGTGGGGGGAAGGGGGTCAGGGGAAGCACAGCCTTCCCTACCTGGCCCTCCATACAGTTTTGCAACCTCAATGTGGCCCTCAGGCCAAAAAGTTTGCCCACCCCTGCACTAGACAAAGGCACAGAATTTATTTCATAATAGAATTAACTTTAATCATTACACAGGAATCCCTAGTTAAGGAGGAGGAAAAGTATACATCTTAATCAAACCTCCCAGTCCAGAAACCCTCCATCTAGAGGGGCTGTTAATTACACCACAGACTGACAACTCAGAAGAATACAGAAGCAGAGTAAATAAGGCTTTCCACATCATCTTCCGTGACATGAACATGTGGTTCTGCTCTGTAAAGTCACTGCATCTTAGCCCCTTCAAACCCAGCTGACAGCGGGACAGAAATATTCTCAGCTTGTTCGCAAAGCCGAGGCAACCCAGCGCTGAGCACAAGCTGCTGCCTGTCCTTGTGGAAGGGCAGACGCTTGCTCCCCAAGGTGCGAGGCAAGTGGCAGAGGGGGCGTGAGGACTAGCTCTAGTCTGGGGCACCTATTTTACTGGTGCTGAAGGAGAAAGCCCAGCATGAGCTCCCTGGAGTTTACTGTGCTTCATTTTACGGGCCAGCAGAGCACATCGGAGGTGGCATCAGGGACACAAACAGACCCTCCCAGTGCCACTGGGCAAAGCAGAACCGCTTTTCGGTCCAATGGAATCTAGACCTGGCTTGAGCACAAGCAACAGAATATTGCACCCTGCAGCCCCAAGGGAGCCATCAGCCTTTGCAGCTGCCCACCGGACCCACTGGTGCAGATGTCACCGTGCCTCGGGGGTCACAACTGAGAATGCCAAATTCAGGACAAACTGCTAAGAAGTAGGGCAGACAACCCCTCCCCCCCAAACTAGGGTTGCCGGGCGTTCCGATCGAAAAGGGACCCTGGCGGCTCCAGTCAGCAGTGCTGACCGAGCCGCTAAAAGTCCAGTCAGAGGCACAGAGGGGCTAAGGCAGGCTCCCTCCCTGCCCTGGCTCCATGTGGCTCGTGGAAGCGGCCAGCACGTCTGGCTCCTAGGCACAGGGGCCATGGGGCTCCGCACACTGCCCCTGCCCCGAGTGCTGGCTTCGCAGCTCCCTTTGGCTGGGAACCGTGGCCAATGGGAACTGCAGGGGCGGCACCTGCAGGTGCAGGCAGTGCACAGAGCCACCTAGTCGCCCCTGCGCCAAGGAGCTGGACGTGCCAGCTACTTCCTGGAACCCACCTGAGGTAAGCGCTGCCAGGATGGAGCCTGCACGCTGAACCCCGTCCTGCACCTCAACCCCCTCCCCGGATTGGAACCCCTTCCCGCACTCCAAGCCCCTCACCCCCAGCCCCACCCCAGAGCCAGCACCCCCAGCCAGAACCTTCACCCCCCTTCTACACCCCAACTCCCTGCCCCAGCCCAGTGAAGGTGAGTGAGGGTGGGGGGCAGCGAGCGACAGAGGGAGGGGGGGATTGAGTGAGCAGATAGCAGGGCCTTGGAGAAGGAGCGGGGCCTTGGGGCAGGGAATAGGGCACGGGTGTTTGGTTTTGTGCTATTAGAAAGTTGAAAACCCTAACTGGTGGTTATTCTCCCATAAGATATACCAAACCAGCAACAAAAGTAAACTGTGGACAACAAGAAGTCAGAAATGCAGCCCCCTTAGGTATTCCAGTCCTTGGTTCAACACCCAGACACTAGACTTAATGGTGAGTGGTTATTTAAAACCCATTTCATCAAACAAAGGGTTCTTCTGATCCCGAAGGGCCAGCCACATATCCAGCTCAATATAACACTCAGATTTTACCCAATAATCATGCTGTTGCCAATCCTTTAGTATCTAATATCTAAAGGATGGAGCTTGGCTGTTCTCAGCGGTGGCAGATGACAGAACAAGGAGTAATGGTCTCAAGCTGCAGTGGGGGAGGTCTAGGTTGGATATCAGGAAACACTATTTCACTAGGAGGGTGGTGAAGCCCTGGAATGGGTTACCTAGGGAGGGGGTGGAATCTCCTTCCTTAGAGGTTTTTAAGGCCTGGCTTGACAAAGCCCTGGCTGGGATGATTTAGCTGGGGTTGGTCCTGCTTTGAGCAGGGGGTTGGACTAGATGACCTCCTGAGGTCTCTTCCAACCCTGATATTCTATGATTCTGTGCTGGGGGCCAGGTAGACACCTCTCCTGGGGGCAGGTAATTCCACCTCAGGACACCAGGGGGGTGCCCTGCCCATTCCTCTGATGAGATGAGGACTGGCTATAATTAAACAGGACACTTGGCTGGACTTACCCCAGGTCTGACCCCGTCCAGGAAAGCCTGCATAATACAGTTAAGGCACTGGTTAGACTAACCAAACCCATGGCGTTGTGGTATAAAGAAGAAGCTGTTTCTGAATCAATGTGATTTCCAAAGCACCCAGGGGATCTGGACGTCCAATTTCCATTCATTTTAATGGGTATCCAGAGTCCTCAGGTGGCTTTGGGAATCTCAGCCTAAAATGACAGGGGAAGCGTTCATTGGCTATGAGTAGGGCCCTACCAAAGTCACAGCCGTGAAAACCACGTCACATATCGAGAAATCAGGTCTCCCCCGTGAAATCTGGCTATTGTGGGGGGAGGGTCACAGGATTGCAACCCTTACCTCTGCGCTGCCTTCCGAGATGGGTGCCCAGCCACCAGCCGCTGCTCTCCACTCTCTGGCCGCCCAGCTCTGAAGTGCCACACAGCAGCAGCACAGAAGTGAGGGTGGCATAATGAGGTGGGAGGGTTTGTTACTTTTTGCAGGGAGGCAGGGCCGGCCTTACGGGTGCATGATGTGAGCAACTGCTAAGGGCGCCATGGTCATTCCCCCCCTCCACACACAGCCAGCCCAACGGCCCTATAAGCCCCAAGTGCTGGGCATGGAGCTGGGGAGGGGCAGGGCTGGGGGTGCCCTGCCTGGGGGCTCTTATCTTGTGCTGGGCTCCAGCTGCTAGACCCGGCTGGGCTGGGGAGGGACAGGAGGGACTTCCTCTACCCCTGCACGGCCTGCTGCTGGGGGCTCTGGGAATCTCCCCTGGCTGCAGGAAGCTCCGCGGTTGCTGGCTGGGATCCTAGCTCTGAAGGCAGCGCCGTCACCAGCAGCAGCGAAGAAGTAAGGGTGTCAATACCGCGTCCCCACTACAAGGGAGCCTTGCGACCGCTCCCGACCTTCCCCCTTCTAGGTCAGGACCCCCCTGGCTACAACCCTGTGAAATTTCAGATTTAAATATCTGAAACTGTGAATTTAAGGTTTCAGAGGAGCAGCCGTGTTAGTCTGTATCTGCAAAAGGAAAAGGAGGACTTGCTGCACCTTAGAGACTAACCCATTTATTTGAGCACAAGCTTTCGTGAGCTTTTCGTGACACATCCGAAGAAGTGAGCTGTAGCTCACGAAAGCTGATGCTCAAATAAATGGGTTAGTCTCGAAGGTGCCACAAGTCCTCCTGTTCTTTTTGTGAAATTTAAGATTTTAAAAATCCTGTGAGCATGAAATTTACCAAAATGGAGCATGAATTTGCTCAGACCCTGGCTGTGTGCCTACAGCCGCCTAGCCGTTGGTCCAGCCTGTTCCTAATGCAGAGAGTCGATAAGAAAGGGAGGTGCTGGCAGCAGGTGCTTGTTGTAAATGGGACACTGTCTGTATTCACACGGCCACTCTGCCCACGCATAGCGCAGCCGGGTGGCAGCGTCCCTGCAGCCAGGGCCGGACAGCGTCACTGTGTGGGCAGATGCAGACAGCATGGGTGCTGGAAGCCACTGACACGGCTCCTGCGCCAAGAGCTGGGGCCCGTGAGAGCAGCACACCTGCCAGAAGAAGCACAGACCAGTCACGTGACCTTGCTCGGCAGCACGGGGCTGTAGCTCTGTAGTTTTCTGGCTTGGGCGGCTGCGGTGCTGTGCTCTGGGGTGGAGACTGCAGGGCTGCTCTGCAGTGCATGTGGCTGCTAAGGGCCCCACGCACCTCCCAGCTCAGCCTCATCTCCCCCTCGGACAGCAGGGGAACGCAGCTCCCCCCACTTCTACAGCAGGAGAGGCAGCATTTGCTAGATCGCCCCTCTCGCCCTGGGCTCTGTCCACTGCAAACTTTTATTTCGACAGCTAGCCAGCATGCGGTGAGAGCTGCCTGCCCTGCTGACATCTGGCTGATGGTGCTGGAGGGGTCACGTGCCCCACGGACAGCACTCAGGCTAGCCCAGTAAGAGTGCAGCCCCTCTGCCCTGGGCGCTTGCCTTGAGCCATGCCGGGACCCCTACGCACATGCTCCTCACCTCAAAGATGCGGTCGTGCATTAGAAGCAGCTGGAGTTCCTGGCTATACGTGATGTTAATGAGGCCCCTGGTTCCATCCACCACGACTTTTGTAGGATATGGGCCTTGGAAGACCAGGTCTTTCTCTCCATATGCCACAGCTCGGGCTCCCAGGTGCAGCCGATATGCCACGGTCTGTTTATCCCGGGGGTGAATGCTGCAAAAAGGGAAGCACGGGGGAAATGATGGGGAGAGGGCAGGGAGCCACTTCCAGTGGTGCAGCCAAAGGCAGTGGCTCCTGAAACTCCACCTCTGCCAGCAGAGGGTGCCGTGTAGCTCCAGGGTGCCCTCACCCCACCCCAGCAGCAAAGAGCTTCGTCTAACCGCAGGATGAGTCAACGGGACCCTGCAGAGAGCAGCAGCTGGCTGGGGAGGTTGGTGGGGGAGCAGGTGCTGGAGGGAGCAGGTCTGCCAGGGAGGGGGACTGACTGAGACAGCGGCCAACCCTGGAGGTAAAGAAGTCAGCCGTGGAAGGGGAGGGCACGAAGACAACAGGAGGCAGTCTAGTTCCAGGGGCAGGGAAAGGACTCCTGGGCAGACCCCCCCTGCACTGAATGGAAAGGGGGCACCCATCTGAAGAGACCAGGCTACCGAACAGATCCCAGCTCAGCTCCCCAGGCTGCTCTGGGGGGCAACGGGCCCCAGAGATCTGTAACCAGGCTCTGCGGTGCTGTCCGTCGCCCCTTCCATATACGCTGAGTACACCGACGCTGCATGCACCTGTGTGCGAAACACACCTTGACCGGCCTCTCCACTAAGCCCTCTGCCCACTCGCGGTGGGCTGGTCGCTGGCTCTGAGCGCCTGCCCCCAGTACCTGTGTCCTTTACTGGCTCTCACAGCAGTGCACCCAAGCCCGCTGTGCTGCCCGGTACTTGACAGGGCTAGCGACCTATACATCTCCCCGCCTCTCACAGGCGGGGAAGAACTCAGCGGGATGCAGCTGGGGAAAGCACAGTGAACAGATCTGGGAGGCCAGTGACACGGCGGTGGGGAGTGGCCCTGGAGCACTGTGCATTAGGGGATTTCTTCTCCCCTTTTGGCACTCCCTGTCCTCCTCCTCTCTCCCGGCCCTGCCCCACTCTCCTCCCACACTCCTCCCTGCTTCAGCCCCACCCCTCGGGCATGCGGAAAGGCCCTGGCACCTCCAGGCCAGGCGCTACAGAACGTCCTCTGGGCGCACTGCAGGCTGCTGTGCAGGGAGTGGGCAGTTACCTGCCGTAGGGCGAGAGCTCGTCGCACAGATCCACCGCCACGGCCATGAAGGTGTTGGGCATTCTCTTGTTGGGCGCATAGCCGTAGTCAGCGGTCTGGTGCCACCGAATGCGGGGGAAACTGTCATCCCAGTCCTGGCGGCGGAACGTGGATAGCTGCAAAGATAGGGAGAGCTGGGAAAGAGCTGATCCCCCACCGGGGCCAGAGCCCCCCAGCCAGCCCTGCTTCCCAGTGTCCCACACACCAACCCGCCCCAGCAGAGGGCGGCCCAGGAGGCCCTGACTTGCGCCAGCAGCCCCGTACTAACTCCCCATGTGGAGAGTGGAGCTTCTGCTCCACCCCAGACCATGAGACATGGGGGCCAGGGGACGCCCCAGCCAGGCAGAGCGGGGTCACCATGGCATAGAGCAGCAGTTCTCAATCAGGGGTCTGGTTTCAGGGGGCCCACCAAGCAGGGCCAACATCAGACTCACTAGTGCCCAGGGCGGAAAGCCGACTCCCCACCGTCCTGAGGCTCAAGCCGAAGCCTGAGCTTCGCAGGGCCCCAGGCAATTGGCCTGCTTGTTACCCCCAGGGGCTTTTACATAGGGGGGCTGGAACAATGGGTACGGGGGGGGGGGGGGCTGAGAGCCATTGAACCAAACTGTAAACCCTGCATAGGACGGAAACCACTTCAAGTCAGGGGGTGCTGCTGTACCCACAGCTCCCCTAGTCCCAGCACCTTCGCTTTTATAGGCAGAACAACCGTTGCGGCACAGGGGGGCCGTGGAGTCTTTATAGCGTGCGGGGGGCTCAGAAAGAAACAGGTTGAGGCCCCCGGGCACAGAGGGTGGCAGGCAGGCGGAGGAGGTGTGGTGGGCTGGGACAGACGGGGGGTGACCGGTGGGAAGGGCGCTGGGCGAGGCCCAACGGCAGGACTGCGGGCAGGGCACTAACTCGAAGGTCAGCTGACTCTCACTTCGTCCCCTCACGCCCTTTCCCTCCACAGCCCTGCTGAGCTCAGTCCTCCTCAGAGTGCGCCTCTGACACTCCTCCACCCCAGCACTCGCCTCCTTCCTCCCCTTCCCTGCCAGTCCTCTCCCTCCACCCATACGTTCCCTCTTTCCTCCTCCTCCCCAACTCACCTGAAGCCAGGAGAGTCTGGGGGTGAGGCAGAGGAGGGGACAGAGCAGGGGTGGCGTCTCTTCCCCCTTTCTCCTCCCAGTGCATCAAGAGGGGAAGTAACAGGGTCTGAGATGTGGGGCGCCCTGTCTTCCCCCATCCCCGTTCTGCTGTGAGATAGAGACAGGAGCAGAGGAGCCAGCAGGGCAAGACCCCAGCCAGAATGAAAAGGGGACAGGCAGCAGTGCCTGACTGCGCCCCAGGGGCAAGAGGGGTGTATCGTCCCTTCAGCACAACTCACTCTCCCCCTACAAAGCCTCTGTGCCGGGACTTGGGGCCTATGGGAAAACCACTCCTGGGTCCATTAGTGTCAAGGAGTCAGCAGGAAAACTGTGATCAGACTGACTCAGCCCGGCCCTCCCTGCCGGTCCAGCACAGCACCAGAGAATGCTCTGCAGTGACGTGAAAGAAACGAGCAGCAAGCAGGAGCTGGATCTGAGCAGCGACTGCTGTCTCCGTGGCGCGGTCAGTACCCTGGCTACCACTCACCTGGACAAACCCGAAGGGGAAGAGCGGCTGCGTTTGCCCATCAGACCCGGCGTGGAAGGCCTTGCGCCAGTCCGTGAGGAGAGCCGGGAATGTGCAGTTGTACAGATCTGTGTTTATGAAGGCGTTTGTTTCACCTGCAACGAGCACATGGGACAAGTGAGAGCTGGGTCCAGCACCCAAAGTGGCATGGCTGGTGCTGTGATACGCTGCCAGACTTACCCTGGTACCAGATAACGCCCGTGAGGGACATGTTGAGGAGCGGGTGGATCATCGCGTTCCAGAGTACAGAGGGCATGTCAGGGCCAGAAAGCAGCGTGGGAAGAAGAAACCTACGACACGAGACAAGCACTGATTGGTGGGGGGCAGCGGCTCATGCCACACAAGGTGACCGGCCAACTCCAGGTGGCATTGATCCCCTATGTTGGGCAATCACTGGATCTGTTCCTCGGGGACTGGATACACAGGACCAGAGGAGGTGAACCGTTTGGGGTCAGATTGACAGAGCTAAAAGCACTGGAAAAAGACGAGCTCAGCCTGAGGGAGATGCGATGGAAAAACAGCCTCTAGGGAAGGGGTTAAATGGTCACTAATGAGATGCAGTTACCAACTCCATCTGGGGTTATTCCAGCACGTCCCCGCCCCAGCCCTACCTGTGTCATTGCCCTAGCTGTGTCACACTCCCCCCAGGGCAGAAAGCTGCCAAGCTCTGTACCAACCCACAGGGGAGGCTTTTCAGAGTGGAAAGTCAGGGCTTGAATTACTCCGGCACAGAATGAAATCGGGTTCAGGCTGGCCCGAAGGGCTGGAGGCAGTGGCCAGGGAAGCTTCAGGGGAGTGGGAGCAGTTCATTCAGATGGAATGGGTACGGAGTGGGCACTGAAGCGGGAAGGCATATACTTAGGGCCCTACCAAATTCAAATTCACAGTCCATTTTGGTCAATTTCATGGCCAAGGTTTTTTAAAATTAGTCAATTTCACAGTTTCAGAGGTTTACATCCGAAATGTCATGGTGTTGTAACTGTGGGGGTCCTGACCCAAAAGGCGGTCATGGGATTGCCACCCTCCCATCTGCCCTGCAGCTGGCAGGCGCACTGCTTTCAGTGGGCAGCCAGAGAGGAAGGCTGCTGGCCAGGCACCCAGTTCTAAAGCCAGCACCACCACCACCAGCAATGCTGAAGTGAGGGTCGCAGGCTCTGGGGAGGGGGTGGGCTACCATATGTCATAGAATCACAGAATCTCAGGGTTGGAAGGGACCTCAGGAGGTCATCTAGTCCGACCCCCTGCTCAAAGCAGGACTAACCCCAACTAAATCATCCCAGCCAGGGCTTTGTCAGGCTTCTCGTCCACTGTAGTCCCCAGGTCCGTTTCTGTCCAGTTTTCCCGGCAGTCTCCTGCCCCAGTGGGAGGCTGACAGCTGGAGCTGCAGAGCTTCTTGCAGCTGGGGGACGTTCCTGGAGATGGGTCGGACCTGCCCTGGGAGTGGCCCCTGCAAGGGAGGAGGAAGTCTGGTCCTTGTCCTTCCCCATCCCCAGCCAGGACTAGCAGCTGGAACCTGTGCAGGGTAGGAGCCCCCAGCTGGGTGCCAGATTTCACGGGGAGATCAGATTTCACAGTCCATGACGTGTTTTTCACAGCCCTGAATTTGCTCTCAATGTCCTCACCGTCTGGCGTCGCCTTTGAGCCCGCACTCGTGCAGCGCCCTTCTTGAGGACCAGGCCTCAATGCAGGTCCCTCCCCAGGAGGACTCCACCAATCCTATGGGGTACTGGAGCATCTCATACAAGTGACGGCCAAACAGCCAACACACAGCTGAGAAGTAGCTGAAGTTCCCGTGACCCAAGTTTTCTGTTCAGGAAAAAGAGAATCGAGAGGCAAATATCAGAAAACTACAGGCGATGCAAACATCGGGGGGCTGCCAGAGGCAGAGTTGCAAGTGCTGGGGAAATCCACCCTGTGGGAGGGCCAGTGCAAGGAGAGCGTCCACCTGGCCAGTGCTGTCTGATCCAGAGGAGCGGTTCCAAGGGGAGGGGAAGTGTTAGGCTGAATATCAGGGAAGCCTTCCAGAAATGGGCACCACCTCTCAAGAGACGGGAGAGATTCCCGTGAGAAGTACCCTGCATAATGACAGGTTTCAGAGTAGCAGCCGTGTTAGTCTGTATTCGCAGAAAGAACAGGAGGACTTGTGGCACCTTAGAGACTAACAAATTTATTTGAGCATAAATTGCATCTGATGAGGTGAGCTGTAACTCACGAAAGCTGATGCTCAAATAAATTTGTTAGTCTCTAAGTTGCCACAAGTCCTCCTGTTCTTTTTCTGTTAGAAGTAGACACTGTAAAACATGCTGGAGAGAACAGCGTGCATTGATCCCAGGGGCTGCCTGGAGAGAACATTGCTGCTCCCTACACCAGCTTCCCACCCTTTCAAGGTCTCGGTCCTTATCTTCAAGGCACGCAATGGCCGAGGCCCAGCGTATCTAAGAGCCCCAAAGTCCAGGATGAAGGTGTGGTTGACAACTCCATTCCTCATGCACAATGGAACTTTCTAGCACCATGGTAAAGCTGGTCTGTCCAGGAGACAGAGATTTCTCGGGGGCTGGGTCCAGACTCTGGACTGAACTCCCTCAGGACCATCACAAACCTCCCCACCTTCCACTCCAAGGGCCAGGTACATTCTCCAACCAGTCATTGCTAAGACACAGAGCAGCATGGCCACGCACAAACAACAACAAAACCACTCCCAAAGCAAACTGCTGCACTGCATGCATGATCCTGCCCTGGGAGAGGATGAGAGAAAGAATCAGCTGCTCATGACTGTTGCTAAATGTACAACTGGAAGGCGCTCAGATATTTGTGAGGGTGGGAGAAGAACCTATACTAGGGTGACCAGATAGCAAGTGTGAAAAATTGGGAAGGGGGTGGGGGATAATAGACGCCTATATAAGACAATGCCCCAAATATCAAGACTGTCCCTATAAAATCTGGACATCTGAACATCCCTAACCTATACACACTAGAACAAGTATGGTAGAAATCAGAGCTGGAAGAGAACACCTACAGGATTTTAAATTTATACATAGGGTTTGCTCTCTTTTGCTTCTTTATGTTGGATGGAGAAGGCCTGAAAGGTTCTTTCTGCTTGTTTTTTTACCTTAGCTACAGGCATCTGGTCTCGCCTGGTTAAACAACAGGATTCTTGAAAGTCTCAGAGAACGTGTGTTGACCTTCTTGCCTCTATAGTAGGCTTTGGAGTTAAACAGGCTCTTTTTAAGGGGGATTTGTACAGACCCACTTTGTACTCACCAGCTGTCGGTATAGACCACTCCAAGTCAATCTTAGCCAGGTCCTGCAATTCCACTTCAGACTGAATAAGAGCGGCCGTGAACACACGGATATATGGATAGAGAGATGCCTCGGAGAGCTCCTTACTGGCATTGAGTATCTAGGCCCTGGTCTACACTAGGACTTTAGATCGAATTTAGCAGCGTTAAATCGATTTAAACCTGCACCCGTCCACACAATGAAGCCCTTTATTTCGACTTAAAGGGCTCTTAAAATCGATTTCCTTACTCCACCCCTGACAAGTGGATTAGCGCTTAAATCGACGTTGCCGGCTCGAATTTGGGGTACTGTGGACACAATTCGATGGTATTGGCCTCCGGGAGCTATCCCAGAGTGCTCCATTCTGACCGCTCTGGACAGCGCTCTCAACTCAGATGCACTGGCCAGGTAGACAGGAAAAGAACCGCGAACTTTTGAATCTCATTTCCTGTTTGGCCAGCGTGGCAAGCTGCAGGTGACCATGCAGAGCTCATCAGCAGAGGTGACCATGATGGAGTCCCAGAATCGCAAAAGAGCTCCAGCATGGACTGAACGGGAGGTACGGGATCTGATCGCTGTTTGGGGAGAGGAATCCGTGCTATCAGAACTCCGTTCCAGTTTTCGAAATGCCAAAACCTTTCTGAAAATCTCCCAGGGCATGAAGGACAGAGGCCATAACAGGGACCCGAAGCAGTGCCGCGTGAAACTGAAGGAGCTGAGGCAAGCCTACCAGAAAACCAGAGGCGAACGGCCGCTCTGGGTCAGAGCCCCAAACATGCCGCTTCTATGATGAGCTGCATGCCATTTTAGGGGGTTCAGCCACCACTACCCCAGCCGTGTTGTTTGACTCCTTCAATGGAGATGGAGGCAATACAGAAGTAGGTTTTGGGGACGAAGAAGATGATGAGGAGGAGGTTGTAGATAGCTCACAGCAAGCAAGCGGAGAAACCGGTTTTCCGACAGCCAGGAACTGTTTCTCACCCTAGACCTGGAGCCAGTACCCCCGAACCCACCCAAGGCTGCCTCCTGGACTCAGCAGGCGGAGAAGGGACCTCTGGTGAGTGTACCTTTTAAAATGCTATACATGGTTTAAAAGCAAGCATGTGAAAGGATTACTTTGCCCTGGCATTTGCGGTTCTGCCTTTGCAAAAGGTTTCTGGGGAGGGCAGCCTTATTTCGTCCTTCATGGTAGGACACTTTACCACTCAGGCCAGCAACACGTACTGGGGAATCACTGTAGAACAAAGCATTGCAGTGTATGTTTGCTGGCATTCAACCAAAATCCGTTCACGCGGTGGGAGGAGGCAAAATGCGACCTTGTAACGAAAGCACATGTGCTATGTATGTAATGTTAACTTTCAAGGTTTACCCTGAAAGAGTGTAGCCACTGTTTTATAAAATGTGTCTTTTTAAATACCGCTGTCCCTTTTTTTTCTCCACCAGCTGCATGTGTTTCAATGATCACAGGATCTTCTCCTTCCCAGAGGCTAGTGAAGCTTAGAAAGAAAAAAAACGCACTCGCGATGAAATGTTCTCCGAGCTCATGCTGTCCTCCCACACTGACAGAGCACAGACGAATGCGTGGAGGCAAATAATGTCAGAGTGCAGGAAAGCACAAAATGACCGGGAGGAGAGGTGGAGGGCTGAAGAGAGTAAGTGGCGGGCTGAAGAGAGTAAGTGGCGGGCTGAAGACAGGGCTGAAGCTCAAAGGTGGCGGCAGCGTGATGAGAGGAGGCAGGATTCAATGCTGAGGCTGCTGCAGGACCAAACCAGTATGCTCCAGTGTATGGTTGAGCTGCAGCAAAGGCAGCTGGAGCACAGACTGCCACTGCAGCCCCTCTGTAACCAACCGCCCTCCTCCCCAAGTTCCATAGCCTCCACACCCAGACGCCCAAGAACACGGTGGGGAGGCCTCCGGCCAACCAGCCACTCCCCCACAGAGGATTGCCCAAAAAAAAGAAGGCTGTCATTCAATAAATTTTAAAGTTGTAAACTTTTAAAGTGCTGTGCTTAAAGTGCTGTGTGGCATTTTCCTTCCCTCCTCCACCACCCCTCCTGGGATACCTTGGTAGTCATCCCCCTATTTGTGTGATGAATGAATAACGAATGCATGACTGTGAAGCAGCAATGACTTTATTGGCTCTGCAAGCAATGATTAAAGGGAGGAGGGGAGGGTGGTTAGCTTACAGGGAAGTAGAGTGAACCAAGGGGCGGGGGGTTCATCAAGGAGAAACAAACAGAACTTTTACACCGTAGCCTGGCCAGTCATGAAACTGTTTTCAAAGCTTCTCTGATGCGTACCGCGCCCTCCTGTGCTCTTCTAACCGCCCTGGTGTCTGGCTGCGCGTAACCAGCAGCCAGGCGATTTGCCTCAACCTCCCACCCCGCCATAAACGTCTCCCCCTTACTCTCACAGATATTGTGGAGCACACAGCAAGCAGTAATAACAGTGGGAATATTGGTTTCGCTGAGGTCTAAGCGAGTCAATAAACTGCGCCAGCGCGCCTTTAAACGTCCAAATGCAATTCTACCACCATTCTGCACTTGCTCAGCCTGTAGTTGAACAGCTCCTGACCACTGTCCAGGCTGCCTGTGTACGGCTTCATGAGCCATGGCATTAAGGGGTAGGCTGGGTCCCCAAGGATACATATAGGCATTTCAACATCCCCAACAGTTATTTTCTGGTCTGGGAATAAAGTCCCTTCCTGCAGCTTTTGAAACAGACCAGAGTTCCTGAAGATGCGAGCATCATGCACCTTTCCCGGCCATCCCACGTTGATGTTGGTGAAACGTCCCTTGTGATCCACCAGAGCTTGCAGCACTATTGAAAAGTACCCCTTGCGGTTTATGTACTCGGCGGCTTGGTGCTCCGGTGCCAAGATAGGGATATGGGTTCCGTCTATGGCCCCACCACAGTTAGGGAATCCCATTGCAGCAAAGCCATCCACTATGACCTGCACATTTCCCAGGGTCACTACCCTTGATATCAGCAGATCTTTGATTGCGTGGGCTACTTGCATCACAGCAGCCCCCACAGTAGATTTGCCCACTCCAAATTGATTCCCAACTGACCGGTAGCTGTCTGGCGTTGCAAGCTTCCAGAGGGCTATCGCCACTCGCTTCTCAACTGTGAGGGCTGCTCTCATCTTGGTATTCATGCGCTTCAGGACAGGGGAAAGCAAGTCACAAAGTTCCATGAAAGTGCCCTTACGCATGCGAAAGTTTCGTAGCCACTGGGAATCGTCCCAGACCTGCAACACTATGCGGTCCCACCAGTCTGTGCTTGTTTCCCGAGCCCAGAATCGGCGTTCCACAGCATGAACCTGCCCCATTAGCACCATGATGCATGCATTGTCAGGGCCCATGCTTTCAGAGAAATCTGTGTCCATGTCCTGATCACTCACGGGACCGCGTGACGTCGCCTCCTCGCCCGGTATCGCGTTGCCATGTTCTGGTGCTGCATATACTGCTGAATAATGCGTGTGGTGGTTAATGTGCTCCTAATTGCCAAAGTGAGCTGAGCGGGCTCCATGCTTGCCGTGGTATGGCGTCCGCACAGAAAAAGGCGCGGAACGATTGTCTGCCGTTGCTCTGACGGAGGGAGGGGCGACTGACGACACGGCTTACAGGGTTGGCTTCAGGGAGCTAAAATCAACAAAGGGGGTGCCTGTACATCAAGGAGTATTTCAGGCAGGACTGCACGGAGGGTTCCAATAAGAAATGGTGCACCTAAGTTATCGTTGTTATTGGAACAAGGAGGTTAGCCTGGCCTCTGATTGATACATGGCTAGATTTACCTCGTGCACCTTCTCTGTGAGTGACTGCAGTGTGACCTAGAGGAATGAGTCCCCTAGACAGGGGAGGAGGCAAATGAGTACAAAACAAATCTGGTCTATTTCTTGTTTTGACCCACTCCATCTATCTTTTACATCTTTGGCTGGCAGCAGACGGTGCAGAAGGACTGCATGCCATCCACATCTCATGGCTGCTTGGCAGAAGATGGTACAGTACGCCTGCTAGCCATCCCCATCTCTTGCCTGCCTGGCAGAAGATGGTGCAATACGACTGCTAGCAATCCTCATCTCTTGCCTGCCTGGCAGAAGATGGTACAGTACGACTGCTAGCAGTCCGTATCGCCTGCCTGCTCACCATAAGACGGTTCAATAGGACTGACTGCAGGACTAAAGAGAATGACCTGGTCAAGTCACTCCAAATTTAGTCCCTGCGCCCATGTCTGCCCAGGCGCTCCCAGCCGCGCGGCCAGGAGCACCTCGGACACGATGAGGACGACTACCAGTCGTATTGCACCGTCTGCTGCCAGAAGGCAAGGGGTTGCTGCTACTGTGCAGCAAAGCCGTACCGCGTCTGCCAGCACCCAGGAGACATAGGGTGACGGTTACCTGAGCGGGCTCCATGCTTGCTGTGGTATGGCGTCTGCACAGGTAACTCAGGAAAAAAAGGCGCGAAATGATTGTCTGCCCTTGCTTTCACGGAGGGAGGGAGGGAACGGGGGCCTGACGACACGTACCCAGAACCACCCGCGACAATGTTTTAGCCCCATCAGAGCGCTCCATTGTGACTGCTCTGGACAGCACTCTCAGATGCCCGATTGTTTGCCATTGCTCTGACGCTGGGAGGGCGCTTACAGGGTTGGCTTCAGGGAGCTAAAATCAACAAAGGGGGTGGCTTTACATCAAGGAGTATTTCAGGCAGGACTTCACAGAGGGTTCCAATAAGAAATGGTGCACCTAAGTTATTGTCCTTATTGGAGCAAGAAGGTTAGCCTGGCCTCTGATTGATACATGGCTAGATTTACCTCGCTGCACCTTGACTGCAGTGTGATCTAGAAGAATGAGTCCCCTAGACAGGGGAGGGGGGAAGCAAATGAGTACAAAACAAATCTGGTCTATTTCTTGTTTTGACCCACTCCATCTATCTTTTACATCTTTGGCTGGCAGCAGACGGACTGCATGCCATCCACATCTCATGACTGCTCGGCAGAAGATGGTACAGCACGACTGCTAGCAGTCCGTATCGCCTGCCCGCTCACCATAAGACGGTTCAATAGGACTGACTGCAGGACTAAAGAGAATGACCTGGTCAAGTCACTCCAAATTTAGTCCCTGTGCCCATGTCTGCCCAGGCGCTCCTGATCGACCTCACAGAGGCGACCAGGAGCACCTCAGACATGACGATGACGGCTACCAGTCGTACTGTACCGTCTGCTGCCACAAGGCAAGGGGTTGCTGCTACTGTGTAGCAATGCCGTACCGCGTCTGCCAGCACCCAGGAGACATAGGGTGACGGTTACCTGAGCGGGCTCCATGCTTGCCATGGTATGGCGTCTGCACAGGTAACTCAGGAAAAAAGGCGCGAAATGATTGTCTGCCCTTGCTTTCACGGGGGAGGGAGGGAACGGGAGGCTGACGATATGTACCCAGAACCACCCGCGACAATGTTTTAGCCCCATCAGGCATTGGGATCTCAACCCAGAATTCCAATGGGCAGCGGAGACTGCGGGAACTGTGGGATAGCTACCCACAGTGCAACGCTCCGGAAGTCGACGCTTGCCTCGGTACTGTGGAAGCGCTCCGCCGAGTTAATGCACTTAATGCACTTAGAGCATTTACTGTGGGGACACACACACTCGAATTTATAAAACCGATTTCTAAAAAACCGACTTCTATAAATTCGACCTTATTCCGTAGTGTAGACATACCCTAGGAAACAGGCAGGGTGGTGAATCATCATGGCCTTTCCCACAGCAGTCCTGGCTGCTAACGGTGTGGTTAACATACAGTCTGCAGAGCTGAAACCCTGCAGCTCCCAGTGACAAATACTCTGGAGGGTGAGGTCACTTAGGAGTGCAAGAGGCTGGAAAGTTGTGGAAGCTCCAGCCAGCATGGGAGAGATTTAAAACTAGACTGGACAAAACACTAGGAAAACTGAACTGGATTTCTATGATTCCTTGTAGCTCACTGAGCAAGCTTAATGTCTGACACGGACAGATCAAAAGGGAACAACTTTCTTTTCCTTTGGAGATAGTTACCAGGCCTGTCCCAACCCCTGCAAAGGCTGATGCCTCATTACCTACTGGAGATTACCTGGGAAACTGTCATCTCCATGTTACTTTGCCCACTGCAAAGCCAGACGTCTCCAAAGTAGATATCCCGCAGCGTCAGATTCTTTGGCTCTTCCCTAGAATGCTGCTCTGCCATCACACTATAAGGGCCACCATGGTCCATAGGAGCCAGTACAACTTTCCAGGTCTCCAAGTGCTCTGAAACATGAAGCAAAGGACCCTGACTTTATAGCAGCAAGCACAGATCCCTGATTGGTATCAATCCAGCGAAACAAACAGAGGTTTTTATTAAATGAAAAGGGACATTTCATATTATGGTGCTTTAATAGGGCTAATTGTACAAAGCTGAAAACAATTATGAGCCAAAGCAGCTGGGAGGAAGAATTTAATTAGAAAAATATGTGCAATAATTAGGAATCATTTAAGAACATCTTACCCGATGCCCCAAAAGCCACAATCCCACAAATGAGGAAGAAGGCTGGGCCCATTAAAAAACCAAACAGGTTTAGAGGGGAAGTGAAGACAACTATAAAAACTAAAAAAAAAAATATAACAAATAGAAGAAAGGTGAAGTTGAGAATAATTAATATAAATCAGAAGTTAGGAATTGCAGAAAATTGATAAGGGAAGCAAATGGACACAAGCAGACATCTATGGCCAGCAGAGTCAAGGAGAAAAAGAAGGAGTTTTTAAAATGTATTAGGAACAAAAAAAATCCTGACAATGGTATTGGTCCATTACTAGATGGAAATGGCAGAATTATCAATGACAATGCTGGAAAGACAGAAGTGGTCAATAAAGATTTCCTTTCTGTATTTGGGGGGGAAAACAGATGATATAATCTAGGGCTGTTCCACCCATCACTAAGACGAACAAGTTTGTTCACATTTACGGGAGATAATGCCGCCCTCTCTTGTTTACAATTTCACCTGAAAATGAGAACAGGCGTTCGCGTGGCACTTCTGTAGCCGGCACCGCAAGGTCTTTACATGCCAGATACACTAAATATTCGTATGCCCCTTCGTGCTTCGGCCAACATTCCAGAGGACATGCTTCCGTGCTGATAATGCTTGTTAAAAAAATAACGTGTTAATTAAATTTTGACTGAACTCCTTGGGGGACAATTGTATGTCTCCTGCTCCGTTTTACCTGCATTCTGCATGTATTTCATATTATAGCAATCTTGGATGATGACCCAGAACACGTTCGTTTTAAGAACACTTTCACGGCAGATTTGACAAAACACAAACATTGTACCAGTGTGAGATTTCTAAAGATAGCTTCAGCACTCGACCCAAGGTTTAAGAATCAGAAGTGCCTTCCAAAATTGGAGAGGGACGAGGTGTGGAGCATCTGGAGTACTCTCATCTGGAGTACTGTGTCCAGTTTTGGGCCCCACACTACAAGAAGGATGTGGATAAATTGGAGAGAGTCCAGTGAAGGGCAACAAAAATGATTAGGGGTCTAGAACACATGACTTATGAGGAGAGGCTGAGGGAGCTGGGATTGTTTAGTCTGCAGAAGAGAAGAATGAGGGGGTATTTGATAGCTGCTTTCAACTACCTGGAAAGGGGGTTCCAAAGAGGATGGCTCTAGACTGTTCTCAATGGTAGCAGATGACAGAACGAGGAGTAATGGTCTCAAGTTGCAGGGGGGGAGGTTTAGATTGGATATTAGGAAAAACTTTTTCACTATGAGGGTGGTGAAACACTGGAATGCGTTACCTAGGGAGGTGGTAGAATCTCCTTCCTTAGAGGTTTTTAAGGTCAGGCTTGACAAAGCCCTGGCTGGGATAATTTAACTGGGAATTGGTCCTGCTTCGAGCAGGGGGTTGGACTAGGTGACCTTCTGGGGTCCCTTCCAACCCTGATATTCTATGATTCTATGATTCTATGCTGTGACGGGGCGTACCAGCCCTGCACTGGGCTGCCAAGGGCGGACCAATCATTGTTGGCCCAGGACGCCACGCCCCCTCTTCCCTGATGCACATGCTCCAAGTGGAGAACTCAGATAAAAGGAGGCTGCCCAGGCCAGTCAAGGGGAGGCGGGGGTGAAGGAGGAAGGGAGTACACTGCTGGCTCCTGCAGAGGTACCTGCAACGCCCCTGGCGGTAAAGTCTGGGGACCGGGTCTACCCACCAGACAACCCCCCAGCTGCGGAGACCGCCATGGAAGCCGAACCACTACCCGTTGAGGATGTTGCCTAAACTACGCCCCAGCCCCGAGAGCTGTGAGGCCTATAGACTGATTGCTCGCTTGCCTTACCCCGCCCCAGGGTTGCAGCCTGCTTGCTGCTTTGCCCTGCCTACGGGGCTAATTCCACAGACTGTTTGATTTTTTGGTGGCTCAGAATCCAAGGATTACTTGTTTAGGTGACCCTGTGCGGGGGGCCGGGCCACAGCTGACCGAAATCACCCACAGGGAAGCCCACGACCGAGTGGCGGAGTGGGCCACCCCTATACTGGACTGACAGGGTATAAAGAGCTTCTATATCCTGCTTTGGATCATTATCGAGCAGAACCTGTCATCAGCATGGTTGTCACCAGCATCACCTCTGGAATGGTGGTTGAAATATGAAGGGACATATGAATCTTTAGCGCATCTGGCAAGTAAATGTCTTGCAATGCCAGCTATAACAGTGCCATATGAAAGCCTGTTCTCACTTTCAGGTGACATCGTAAACAAAACACGGGGAGCATTATCTCTTGCAAGTGTAAACTCTTTGTCTGAGCGATTGGCTGAACAAGAAGTAGGACTGAGTGAGTGGACATTGTTTTTTTTTTAATGCAGTTATTTTTGTACAGTAAGTTCAACTTTCACAATGAAGAGATTGCATGACAGTACTTGTATGAGGTGAATTGAAAAATACTATTTCTTTTGTTTTTTACAGCACAAATATTTGAATAAATATAAAGTGAGCCCTGCGCACTTTGTATTCTGTGTGGTAACTGAAATCAATATATTTGAAAATGTAGAAAACATCCAAAAATATTGATATAAATAGTATTCTATTATCAACAGTGCAATTAATCACAATTAATTTTTTAATCGCTTGACAGCCCTGATATAATCTCATCATAGGAGGAGGATAACATGCTCCATTTCACTAGTTTCAGAGTAACAGCCGTGTTAGTCTGTATTCACAAAAAGAAAAGGAGGACTTGTGGCACCTTAGAGACTAACCAATTTATTTGAGCATAAGCTTTCGTGAGCTACAGCTCACTTCATCGGATGCATACTGTGGAAAGTTTAGAAGATCTTATTATATACACACAAAGCATGAAAAAATACCTCCCCCCACCCCACTCTCCTGCTGGTAATAGCTTATCTAAAGTGATCGCTCTCCTTACAATGTGTATGATAATCAAGTTGGGCCATTTCCAGCACAAATCCAGGTTTTCTCACCCCTCACCCCCCCCCCCCATACACACAAACTCGTTCTCCTGCTGGTAATAGCTTATCTAAAGTGACCACTCTCCTTACATTGTGTATGATAATCAAGGTGGGCCATTTCCAGCACAAATCCAGGGTTTAACAAGAACGTGGGGGGGGGGGGGGGGAGAAAACAAGGGGAAATAGGCTACCTTGAATAATGACTAAGTCACTCCCAGTCTCTATTCAAGCCTAAGTTAATTGTATCCAATTTGCAAATGAATTCCAATTCAGCAGTTTCTCGCTGGAGTCTGGAGACTGGGAGTGGCTTAGTCATTATGCAAGGTAGCCTATTTCCCCTTGTTTTTTTCCTACCCCCCCCCCCCCCAGACGTTCTTGTTAAACCCTGGATTTGTGCTGGAAATGGCCCACCTTGATTATCATACACAATGTAAGGAGAGTGGTCACTTTGGATAAGCTATTACCAGCAGGAGAGTGAGTTTGGGAGGGGGGGGGGTGAGAAAACCTGGATTTGTGTTGGAAATGGCCCACCTTGATTATCATACACATTTTGTAAGGAGAGTGATCACTTCAGATAAGCTATTACCAGCAGGAGAGTGGGGTGGGAGGAGGTATTTTTTCATGCTTTGTGTTTATATAATAAGATCTTCTAAACTTTCCACAGTATGCATCCGATGAAGTGAGCTGTAGCTCACGAAAGCTTATGCTCAAATAAATTGGTTAGTCTCTAAGGTGCCACAAGTCCTCCTTTTCATTTCACTAGTGTCGCTGGAGGGTATTAAACAGAGGCTACTGCAGTTCGATATTTTAAAATCAGTTGGTACAGATAATCTACGTCGAAAAGTTTTCAAAGAGCTGGCTGAGCAGCAGACTGGGCCATTGATGTGGGTTTGTAATTCGTCTTGGAGCACCAGGGAACTTCCAGAAGACTGGCAGAAAGCTAACGTGCCAATTTTTATAAAGGGTACACAGGTCGACCTAGGTAATTATAGGCCTGTCAGCTGGACTTTGATCTCAGTCAAGATAATGGATTAATAAACTATCGGAAGGTAACGTAATTCATGCAAATCGACATGGGTTTAAGGAAAATAGATCTGGTCAAACAAATTTGATTTTTTTTATGAGATTGCATTTTTAGTTGATCAAGGTAATAGCACTGACGTAATATACTTAGACTTCTGCAAGGCATTTGACTTGGTACAACATGACATTTTGATTAAAAAAGTCAAATGATATAAAATTAACATGGCACACATTAAATGGATTTAAAACCTGCTGATGGCTCTCAAAGTGTAACTGTAACTAGAGACTCATCATCACCACGCATGTGTGCTCCAGACAATTGTCAGTTATTGCAGAAAGCAAACAGGGACTTGGGAAGTTGGGACTAGAACACGCCTCCTTCACTTCCTTGTACCTCTTGGGCTACTGGAGAAGCCCTCTAACTAGTACAGCTCCCTATCCTCTCTGAAGGTCAGATGGCAATAACACAAAGCCAAGAAATCATAGAGGACACAGGGTTCGGTGCCACATTCCCCCACTGCCTGGGAGCTCGTCTGTAGGACATCCACTTGGCTGCTGAAGTGGATAGGTGCTATTGTTTGGGGGATGTTTCCTGGCCCTCATCAGAGGCAGGGAGTGGGGGCAGAGAAGCCCTGGAAGCTGTGTGGTCATGGGGAAGTGCAAAGCAGTAGGAATCTGAGATTTATTTTATTACCTTCAACTTGTGCCATTTTCTTCATTATTACTTTGCTGTCTTTGGAAAGAGACAGGGTAACATTAGCGCCAGATTCCCCGTAGCCCCATACCACTGCGCCGGCTGGTTTCTTCTGTAATACCATGTGGTCACCATAATAGGATGCAAAGCGAAACGTCACACCTAGGATCCACAAAAATGTCATGATCAGCCTGTCAATATTTTACTCCTCACAGAAATGCCAAACCCCTTATCCTCAACGGGGTATGCACTGGGAGGTAGGTAGGTAACTGTTAGGAATTTCTGTCTATAGCTGTCATTTTGTGAGACAGAGTTAATGAAGCATATTATGGGGAAACAAACACACAGTGCTCTCCCATGACAACTTTCCTTTTGTTCTTTCTTACTTTTAGAAAAAGGGAAAACACAAAATAAGTCTGGAGATGGCAGCACACAGTGGCTATTGATTTTGTTGTGACACCTACAATATTGATGTTGAGATAATACAGCATGTTTGAGCCAAAAATCCTTCAAATAAAGGAAACAAACCAACAAAAATTGATCATCTTCTGACAGCATAAACTGCTAATAAATACATATTATTATATACTGTCTTGCAAGATGCTCAAATATCAGCATGATACAAATACCAAGACAGATAAGGAGAAATAGGAAAAACATTGTGTACTATAAGCTACTCTGTTAAAAAGCCACATGTCAATTGTAAACACTGCTTCTAGCATGTAACAATTAAATGAGCAAGATATTGAGGAGGATAAATAGGTCCAGGAGTTGGGAACTGAAGATCTTTAATTTCTGGAGTCATCAAAAGTTAATTCCACAGAATTGGGAAAAAAAAAAATTCTTTCTCCACTCGAAGTACTCGAAGAAATCACAATATTGTACCAATGCTGTAAATATGATGATGGTCGGAATCTAATAAATAATTGGGACCAACTTGTGACAATAGTCATAGAAGTTCAGATGTGTATTACCAGGGCCCTGTTTATTCGGCTCCCGCTGAATTTACCACAGAATTCACACTCTGCCCATCTGTCACGGAATCCGCCATTTCTAGAAACTGAACTTCCATATAAAAATAATTGTGTTTCTCTTTTTCTCATGATTGTGATGATAACCCTGAAAACATGAACTGCATGTAACCAATTCAATGCTGTCTTCCAGAATCTGCAGCAGGGACTCAGAGAAGTGTAACCAGCCCCATCTCTCAGTGGAATGTTAACTCTAGAATCCTCAAGATGACCATCTAAAATTTCAATATCTAGATAACGTACTTACCTCACGATCCCAAACCACCTCCCTTACCACCCCAGGGGTCCAAAGCCCCAGATGGCCACACATCCAAGTACGACCCGCTTACTTCCGTGATGTGCCTATTGGCCAACACAAGAATCTGTGCATACTGCCAACTGACAGTGCAGAAACAGCATAAAACAAATGGAATTTAATAGCACAGAGGAGATTGCGTTAATGGGATTAGTCACTTTCATAATTAATTCGATAACAACCCTTCATTTTTCATTTAAATGAAACTACCATTATTTCCAGTTTGGCACACCAAAGCCCTGCATAATTCAGAGCAACAGAAGCAAACAGACTCTTAAAAGAACATGTTACAGAAAAACAAGTCTGAAGGAAAAAGAGTTACTGAAGGAGCAACACATGAGGGTCTAGCAGGATGAAGGGAGAATGAGAACAAGGGGGAAATCCACGGGAACAGACAGGGGCTTTTACAGAAATTTTGCCTCCTATAAAATTTTGTCTCATTTAATGAGGGAAGCAAACCCAAAACAAACCAACCAAACAAAAAAGCTGAAAATGGTAATGAAGGAAGGGGCAGAGGGGTCCCCAAATCTGACCTCTCAGGGGTATTCTACATGCTAACTTTTTTTCTTGTTAGATTGAGACATAAGGCCCCATCCAGAAGGCTTCCAAAGGGGCGGAATATCTCAGTGAGATTTTTAGTGCAACCACAGAAGCCTAACCAACTTGCCTCTCTCAGGTGTTCCCTGGAAGCAGGAAAGTCTGGACAGAGA